AATTCCAAGGTACCAGTGCGGCAGTAACGCCAAGCGGTTGCTTGATGGTGAAGATACGTCTACCGGGAATGGCGGCGGGAAATGTAGTCCCCTGGATTCGCTCCGCCTCGCCGGTGAACCAGCGCGTAAACGAAGCCGCGTACTCGATCTCGCCGTAAGCTTCGACTAGTGGCTTGCCCGTCTCGTATACCAAGATAGTGGCAAGGTCATCTTTATGCTCTCTGATCAAAGCATCGAATTTGGCCAGCAGGTCAGCGCGAGCTCGAGGTGTAAATTTGCGGTAGACTTGGAAGGCCGCTTGCGCTGCTTGCACCGCATCATCGACATCCTCGGCAGCCATGTCCGGGCATGAGGCGAACTTCTGGTCGGATCCCGGGTCTGCTCGCTTGTAGTATAAGCAAGTGGTCGAATATCAAGTGATTAAGCCATTACTGACCGATGACATCGAATCTCTTCCCTGATTTTGCTTCGATCCATTGTCCGTTGACGTATGCTTTGTCTCGAAAGAGCTCTGGGTTCTTGAGGTTGAGCTGTGTCTCTATCAGTTACGTTACCTACGCATACTTCAGGGGTAATCAGTGTTGATCGATTTCAGGTGAGAGCTTACGTCAATAGCTGACTTGACTTCGGCCATGGTTGAAGGTGATAGTAAGGACCTAGAAGGTAGTCTAGCTAAATAATACTAAGTTCTCAGGCGATGAGAAGATATCTTTACTTATTCGCTTAACTAGTGGCAACGGCAAGTCGTCTGGATGTCTTACGTCTCCAATATATAATCACCGTTACGCTAATTAGGTACATATCGTCACGAAAGTCACCCCGCATCTCCTATCGCATACGACCATCCCGAAACTCTCGGGTATCTGATCAGCGCGACCTGACTATTCGTCTTAGCTCTTATCCCCGCAGCCAATCCAAACGCTCCCCCTCTACCGAATCCGGTCAATAGTGCGGCGGAGTGACTCTAAGCTACCCCACATAGGAGCAATCGTAGATATCGCCTGCAATGTGATGTGATGGTCCTATCATAGGTGGTGTATCATAAGAGTACAGAGAACGACTGTCCAAAATATCCAAATTATATAGTAGTTTAGATTCGAGTCGTAGATAGATGCGTTCGGTAGCTTGTTCTCCAGCAGTTTTAAATAGAAATAGCTACTGTAAGGAAACTTGATTCGAATATACGAGCTGTAGTGCATAATGGGTGATACAGGACATAGAAAAGCAATGAAGATGTCTATACAAGTTTCAGTTCAGTTCCACGTAAGAACGCAGCCTCGGCCCCTAACACTGCTCACCATTCTAAAATAATTGCGAGAAGGAGGTTGCACCTAATGCAGCTAATAGCGATAACTCCACGACAGCTAAAATAAAAAGGTTAGAGGCCATAGATCTTAGACACTTCTTAATCTTCACGGTCGTATATTGCATCTAGGCATTACATGTCTTTTTCCTTTTTTTATTTCTTTTTTCTTTTTCTTTTTCTTTTTCTTTTTCTTTTTTTCTAGCTTATATACAAAAACCTATCACTATAGAAATGCCATTGTGCTTAAAAATACCTAGTTGCCAAAGCCATCAACTAGTAAGACATGTTTCTTCTTAATATGATAGCATTATGACCATTTATTCCTAATCCTTGGGTTTGACTTGATAAATATCTGCAGTGCACAAGATAGGCTCAAATGGATTATATTTTTCTATATATTTTCATATCGTGATCGCTCCCTAGTTAGCCGCGATTGCCTTTGGAGCGGGAAGGGCCAGTATCTTCTTCGCCGCATGCTCGGCGGCAGCAACGATCATTGCTGAAGGGTTTCCTGTCATCATTCCCGGGAAGATGGACGCATCGACGACGAAGAGGTTATCCGTGCCATAGACCTTGGTGTTCGTGTCGACGACAGACGTGCCATTGACCACCCGGCCGTCGTCAAGTCCCATCTTGGCCGTACCAACCCAGTGGTTCGAGCATCGCACCGCCGGTGTTGCAGGGGTCTTTATGTTAACGTTAGTAGCCCTTGATTCTTTTATCTACGTCGTTTTCTCTTGTGTAAAAGTAGATGAATTATAAAGGGGTAAAGGTAATGCGAACTCACCGAGTCAACAAACTGCGTTGATGTCTGATTTGAAGCCGGCCGAACCCAAGTTAAGTTCGAGATGGGTCCGAAATACTTGCGCACTCTCTCAAGTCCCTCAATAACAGCTGCCTTGTCGTTGGCATCTCGGAGATAAGGGGGGACGGACACGCGGGTATTGAGCTGAGGCGTGATCACCATGCGACCTCTCGACGTTGACCCAGTTCCAAGATATTGGGTGACCGTCATGGAAGCTGAATTTCACAGTTAGTGCCGGTATATGAAATATATCGGGATAGTAGGCTCACTGTTCTTGGAACCCTCAACTCGCGCTTGCCAGTGCAGATGACGATCTATTCCATCCTCGCCGGGAATGATCTCCCAAAACTATACATATGTCAATATCATTATCCCTAAACCCTTTTTGAGTTGCTTACGATAGGACCTAGGTTAGGTGCTGCTTGTGCGAGAATGCCGGTACGGTTCTCTGTGATAAAGTCAGTACCGGATTCATTATTGTAGCCTGGATATCTTACGCAAGTATATTTCCGTATCGTTTAAGATAGGTTTGCTGTATGCCGCATAGAAATCGTAGAAGACGACGTCGGGGTGAGCAATCTCGATGTCGGTCTAATATACCGTAAGTTTAGACAATGGTCCTAAATAGCATTGCCTTGAATAATCTCGGTACTCACGCCAACATGGTCGATTAGATTGTATCCCACAGGGAGATCAATCCAAGAGTCCTCAGATATCATAGTCTTCGCATCCGACGTCGAATTCTTCACGACATTTAATTGGTCCTTTGGCCCGATGCCGCCTATTTTAACTCGTTAGCGAACCAACAAGGACCTGGGGTTATAATGAATAGATAAAAAGCCATACTTCTGAAAAGAAGTTTTGCCGAGCCAAAGGCGCCAGCAGACAAGATGACACGGCCTGTTCCAGGGGTAACTGAGACCACACCAGCGTGTCCGGCAGCATTTTTACTACACTCGATCTCAACGCCCGTCGCATGGCCCCCCTCACGAATGACCCTCCTTGCGGTAGTGTTCATCCAAAGTGTGAACTCCTTGCGTTGGCTTGCATCGACTAAGTACGTCGCGATGGGTCCACCTCGCTCACCGTTAGAGAACATGTGCGTGCTGTGGCCAAAGGTCCGGTTCTTGCGATCAGGATGTTCGTTAGGCACAATGAACTCCCACCCGCTTGCATTTAGTCCTGATGTCAACGCCTCGAATCCCTGCTGTAGGTATAGCTTGCCGTCCGTACTGGGATGCGTCGTTCCCGGAATTCGCTCGAACACCCGCGCTGTCGCATCGACTACATCAGAGCTTTTCCACCCTTCGGGCCAGCTATAATCCCAGTCGGCTGGGTGTGGTTTCCACCATAGGCCAGAATTGACAGCCACACCACCACCCAGCACACAACCTGCCATCTGGTCGACATCCGTACATACAACGCCAGTAGGGTTGTGCCAAATTTCGTTGGCCAGCCCAGGTACGTCAAAGCGAGTCAGCGTCGAATTATCCAACCATTTGGGTTTTAGAGTGCCTCCCCAGACGCCCGTTGACGGCGGACCTTTCTCTAGAAGAAGGACCGTGTGCCCAGCCTCTGACAGCCGGTCAGCAAGCGGAATGCCACCAGCCCCCGAGCCTATGATAATATAGTCCCAGGTCTGACTAGTCGTGACGTTAGAGCAAACTGGCGGTGCCAGTGCTACATTAGCCCGTGCTGAGCATGGTTGGAATACTATAAGAGAGTTAGACAGGATCCACGCGTCTACCTATCTAGGTATCCTTAGGTGTGTGCTTACAAAGCAAGGCGGCTGTCGCGGCGGCGCTTAGGTATAGATTACCATGCATCTCAACTATAAGAGGTCTTGCGTGACTGAGTGTACAGAGGAAACTCCGCGTCAACCCTCAGGGGCGGACCCAAGCCTTTTTTAAAACGGCAAAGAACGTGATGTGTCCCGAGCATCGCAGATAGGACACTAGAAGCCATGACCATGCCGCCACGCCAATGTCGACTTGCATGCCTAAGTCTCGCACGCAGAAGTGCCGCTTCAAAGTGCTGTCGTCGGTGTATCGAAGAAACTAGCGCGCTCGAACAGGTCACTGGTTCAAAGTTGTAGGGATCTACAATCCTTTTTCATTTGGGCGCAATTAGCCGAGTGCGATGTCGTGGAGTGTCCTAGGAACCAGGGTGCCCATACTTAGCCGCGAGCGAAAAACCTGGGGTAACCTGGGGTCGCCTGGGGTCGCCTGGGGTAAGGTAGGGGCATGCGGCTGGCCCGGGTTTCTGGAGAGGTCCATTCACGATCCAAAATGGAAGTGCCGATGGAAGGGGAGGGCGGCGATGGTGCATCGGGTCGTCACACCCAGGACAAAAAAAGTAGCCCCCGCGAGGCTACGGACTTACGGTGATTAGCAAGGAGGGGGACTACAACCAGGCGTCTCAGGATAATCCCGGCCAAGTCATTCGAGTTTGTGACGTTTTCAACTTACTGCGGAGATATAGTTGACAATAGGAGTACACAGTAGGCAAAAAGGAGAGAAGGATCAAGGATCACGACTGTGACACTTCATCCGGACGTTCTAGGCCTCTTCCTTTGACGGTCACTAGTCTAATATATCTTAATCCTTGATGATCTACGTTGAAGGGAGTAGAATGAGCATCAGGATACGGATAACCGTGGAAATTCGCGTGTCCGACAGAAAATCTTACTACTACCTAACATATTCTAGAACAATTCCATCTTGAAATAGTATGGTTAGAAGGAGATACCTCAATAGGAAATTTAACGTAAGATTTATCATTATATTACTGGCATTAAAGAATGATTTCCATGATACAGTAAAAAGCCGCCTCGAGTTCCAGGACCTCACCGTTTTCTAAACCCAATTAGTACTTCAAAGCTTAAGCACTATTAAACGAACGTTTTGAATACTCTAAAAACCTATAGTATCATGGCGCCGGCGCCTGCTGTATCCTTTGGTTTGCGGCTAATGCTTCCATCGCTGTTAACCGCTTCTTGTGTCCCACTTGTAGATTTCTGCTCTTCACCAGCGGTACTCCTGCCCTATAGTAAACATATGAGACCCAGACCTACTAACTATATCTATAGTAAGGTATTATTGTATAAAACTTACACTTGCCTGCTTATCGAGAGGACCGCCAGTAACTGACACTGGTTTGGTCATTTGGGCTTCAGGTTGCTTAAACCAGGTCAGCAAAGCACTCTAAAGAATACCGAGAAGTTTCTACTTACGATAGCGCCAGGGGCCTCAAATATACCGCTGGCCAGATCAACATTTGGCAAGGCATTCGTACTGCCCGTGTCAAAGTTCTTGCCGGCTTTATTCTGATCTTTCTGCCCTGCAGCAGCCATGTTTTTGTTGCAGGATGGGAGACTATATTCTGAAGGATTTTGGAAGTCCTGCAGTGTACCAAGTGGGCGTGATGAACCGGACCAAACTCCTTCGACAACTAATTTGCCATTTGGCCAAATACTTCGTCGCCTCACAGTAGTAATACGTCATCTACCGATGAGGCTCCATATATGGCCGGTCGCAACCTACATAGCCACGAGATATTCAGAGATTTACGTCACAACTACGTGATGAAGGCTGGGACCCGAAACCCCAAATTTTATCAGTTATTAAACGAGTAAGAAGTCCTTCGAAACTCAGCATTAGTAAAATAATTTGCATTCCCATGAAACAGTCCTTTCTTAAGGCTCCGGTTTTGTGGGGTACGGCTTGCCGGACAAGGGTTGAAATCGGAGCCGGGGCCGGAATAGCTCTTTCCAACTAATAGCTTAAAAGTTACTATCTGCTCTAGTGATACCAATAACTTGATGGTGGGATTCATAACATACATATCTAGGATCTATAAAGAACAAAAATCTTGCTACAAGTTTACCCAACTAGCAAGTAATAACTGGATTAGAGTAGTTTTCATTATTAACATCTAATCGTCTATTCCATTCGTCTAACTCATAACCTATATTTAATTCTCTGCTCCTATATATCTGCATCTGCATTATATATAAATTCTTGTATCAAGTCTCTAATCGCCTCATCGGTCTCACCCCTATCGCCCGGGAATACTGCGGCTGTTTTGGTCTGTACGGCATTTTCAGCTATTCTCAGCATATCTCGCAAGCTCATCCTGTCTGATTCCTCGTATGCTAAGCATCTGGCTAGGAAATCTCGAATATCGTCGTCGAGCGTAGGGTATTTCGCACCATTTCCATGGTGTAAGAACTCTGTTGCTCTTGTCTCGAACCCCTGGTATTCTGTGATCCAGGCCGATATTCTCACTTGTTGTCTTGCAATTAGGTTAACCATAATCTAGACCGGTATTAGCTTATTAGCGTTCTTGCCCAGGACGGGATTGTCTCAAATACCCTAATTACTGCTCGAACGTTATCGGGGACGCCCTTGAATCCCTCTCTTGTTCGTCCGAAGTCGATGAACTTTAGCGGCGGAACTAAGTCGTGCTCCGGAAATCCACCACCAGCGTTACCTATCATAACTTCATGCTATCAGTGAAATGAAATGCCCTAGAAAAGAAGTAACAAACTGTTTGCTGCACTCAAATCGGCATGTTCAATCTTGCTCGGTTGTGTGTCATCTCCAGGGATCGTCTCCAACTGGTCTGGACCATCTTCGCCGCCGTTCGGAGGGTACGCGAGGGCAACACAAGCTCTTGTTACTAGTATTTGGTATATATTAGAATACCGTTTCTAAACTCCCAAATGTAGGCATTATACTCACAACAGAGAAAAAAGGACCATATTACTCTGTTGGGTAGTAATTGGTCACGATTAACCAGTCTTTTATATAGCCGTGCTAGATCTCCATTTTCTAAGTACTCGATTACCACTATTGGACCGGTGAATCCTTCTAACGATTCTTCTAAAGCAGACCGCCTTCTCAATAAACGCTTTCTATCGCGTCTGAAAAAGGTCGTTGGGTGAGGCTCGTCGCGAGATGCCAGTATCCCCACAACATGCTCAGCTCCGCGAAGAGTCTACAGTAGATGGATTATTAGCCATCTCCGGTTACCGTTCCGCGCCGAATACTCACTTTTAGCCATTCTATTTCATTTCTTAGATCGTCTTCTCCCCGGGGTTTTAGAGATCGCTTCACCACAAGACGTCGAGTCCTATTCTGCGAGAGCTTTTCGACGAGACAGAAGGTGAGGCCGAAGGCACCGCGACCGAGTAGTCCTTCAAATGTAAATTTATGATGTTGCACAGCAAAATGTGACCTTAATTCCGCTTCGATATCAGCGGTGGACTTGTTGCCATAGGCAGGGGGCGCAGAGTGAGATCGACTCATTGGTGGTCTTTCTATTAAGCCCGTGGATGAACTGCCTTAAAAAAAAACTTATAGATAACCCTGGTAAAGCATAGATAGTAGACGTGCAAGTGTAATAAAGCGGCTATTATATAATAAAGAAAGATACTCAAGTAGTCTGATTGCGGAATAGGTACATGGACATGTTCCGCCCGATTCAACTTTGGGAAGAAAGAGGTAACATCTATTAAAACTAAGAGAGATACAAACAAGTCTTATGATCTAGTTAAAGATCTGAGTTTCAATGCTATCCATATTTGTAGTTAGATGACAGTAATTGAAGCATGTATTGTACATCCTTTCTAATCCAGGTAGTTATGTTCCGTTTCGTAATTGTAGATAGTATAGTTTATGAATTAAATAATTCAACTTCTTTTATTGTATGCTGTAATAGTTTGTTAGTGTTTGCTTTAACTTTCAGTTTATCTTTAATCTTGTATCCCCGTCCCCAGTCTTTAGCGGCCAAGACGCAAAAAGCTAAGCGGTACAAAATGATTGGCCAAAAAAGCTCCGACGGCAGGTACCGAACCACTTAAACTTCGGCTCCTCCAAAATTTCAACTCTTCAAAGCTTCAAGAAGCTCTGCACAAGATTCCCGCATTAACGCTCACTCGATTAGGCCTAACTACCTACCAATTGGCCTGGAGCCTCTTCCCCCTCAAGATGGCACCCGCGCGCCTTATCCGACCGCCGACCTGTCTCGACTGCCTGCGCCGTCTCGTCCACCCCGCCCCGGCATCGCCCCCCTCGTTTCTATCTCTGCAGACTCGAGGCGCCAAGTCGTCGACGAAGGCCGAGGAGGAAGATTTGCAGGGTATTCCCGTGCGTCTGCTACAGGACATCCAAGGGTTCGGTCGGAGAGGTAAGTTTTTTTTTTCCTTAAGCTCCTACATTCGTCTTGTCAGAATATTGTATGGCTTATGAGGAAACGCAACAGATGCCATCATCCGAGTCAAACCCGGCCGCATGCGCAACTACTGGTTTCCCAAGGCGCAGGCCGAGTACATGACGCCCCGGCGCTTCAAGGAGCTCGGCCTAACTGAGGCTGCCATTGGTGTGCGCGACCGGTCCTTCGGCACCAAGCTCCTCGTCGAATCTGAAGCTGTGCCCGCTGAGGAGGGGCCCAAAGAGACCAGGAAGAGCAAGAAGGATACCTTGACGCTACCGGTAAGTTTGGCTTAGTACTTCTACAAGTAATCTTACACCATGACCTGTGTTAACATATAAATCCAGCCCAAGGAGACCCTCACCCTCCTCGAATCCCTCCTCCCTCCCACCCTAACCTTCGCCCGCAAGCCCATCCACACCGTCTCCGCGCCTCTATCTAGCGAACCCAAACCTACCCCCATTCCTCGATCGCCATCTCTCGCCGCCAACGCCGCAGCATCTACAAACTTCGCTGCCGAAGACTCGACGCCGCCCTCGGCGGATGAGGCAGCGTCGGTAGCCATCTTCGGTTCCGTATCCATAAACGACATCTTAGCCTTGATACGAGAAAGGCTATTAGAAGCAGACCCAGCGCAGGGCGGGCGTGTGGCACTCGAGGCGGACAACGTGCAGATCCAGGGTCTGGAGGGCGAAGACCGCATCAAGCACCTCGGTACCTTCGAGGTTCTGATTTACGCCGGCAAAGACCTGGAGCCCTTGGTGCGGAATGTTGAGGTCGTGCCAGAGGAGTGAATTAGGGACGATGTGTCAATTATCATGCTATTACCGTAAGATAACCGGCAGAAAGCCCGCGAAAGTGGAGTATCTACTACCTAGTAGCGAGCCAGCACGGTATTCCTATACGCATGAATTAACATAGCACGTGTATGATATACCAACCAGCTAGGGTAGCTGAGCTAACACTAGATATGCACATATGTCGACAAATTTGGATTCGTGTATCAATATATGCAGTGCCCATCTTGAAGCCTTTTAAAAGTTCAATCTTTCGTATCTCGGCCATAGGATGGTTAACTAGCTCTCTAAAATAGCATACGTATTTCCCCAAGGTTGAATTGTCACTACAAGAAAAGGCGGCGGGGAGGACGTAGATTAAGGCAATGGTCAATAGGTAAGTAATTAGGTCATGGATTGGGTATTATTTTCCATCCCTTCGCTCTCTCTAATACGACAACTTAGTCCTACCCCCCCCCCCCCCCCAAAAGTAAAAAATAATAACCCAGTGTTCAAGCATCTATTATGAGACAAAAACCAGAAAGAAAAAAACCCAAGACAAGCAGACCCTTTTACGCCAGCGCTGTGCCCAATAAAAATATGATACGGGAATATTAGCCTGTACTATGCCATTCATCCTGCATATCAACGCTGGTCTTCCTTCCGATTAATCAGCTACAAACTTCTTGTGCTTAGGTATGGAAGGGGTAAATGTGATGATGTGTGGTTATGGACAAGAGAGTTGACCAAACCTGATCACCTGCCGGGATAACTAACGTCTAGGTTCCATAGTGAATCCCATACAATACTCCTTCTAACGGGGCTTGGGCTTTCGATAGAAGTAGCAGTTATTTCTCTGCGGAGTTGGGAATGCTGGGGTCGTTGTTGTTGCTGCTGTTGTGACTGTGTCCGAGGCTGACCCGACGGCCTCTGCTGCTGAGGCTGCTGCGTATTGGGGTTGTCGTCTATTCGCCGACGCTAGATCCCATCAGCGACTATGTCTCAAGGATCGAGGGTGGTGTTAATTATCGCGCCGCACCTCGGTTTGCTCGCCCTTATCTGCGGCGGTTTGCTTGTCCCCTGTTGATTCTTGCTGCGTTCCGCTTAGCCCTGCGCCTCCCTGCCCAACTGTCGGACTTGTGATACTGTTTGTCTCGCTAGCTAGCGCACTACCTTTTGCGGCGACAACCCCAGCAAGAGGCTGGGCCTTCTTAGAGCCTGAACTGCTACGCCTGCTCTCGAGACTCTTGCTGAGGGTTCTACTAACACCCTCAATTCCACCGTTAGGGCCCAGTTTGGATTTCCCCTTGCTCAAACGTCCATGTGCGTGCATATCGGCGACAGCTGCAACAGTGTTTGCAGCGACGGTGGACTTTCCGAGCCCAGGGGTAGATGGGGCGCCGGGTTTATCTTCGTGTGCATCAATAAGCCACCAGCGTAGACCATCTGACAAATCAAATGGATTGTCATTTTCGTCGCCAGTATTAACAGAATCAGTTTCACCCTCTGATGGAAGAGCAGTGGTAGATTGTAAGCTCTTAGATAAGTCGACTACTCGCTCTTGAACACGGGTTATGCGGGCTACAAGCCACTCGCGGCTGCGCAAGCGGTGGCCTTCCTGCTCCCGCAAGAAAAAATGAGGACATCCGACATTGAAAGCAGCCCAGGCACCTGTCGTCTGATTACGGGTGGGGAGAAACAAGGCTAGGTCGCCTTCTTTGAATTGTCTGAAGGCAATTTTGTCACGAGCTTCCTTAGCAGCATCGTGTGCCCGTTCTCTGTAATTACGAGCGTCTCGAGTCATCTTTCGAGCAGTATGCTCCACTTCCTTAACGCGACGGTACATGGCTTCAGAAAAGGCGTCAATGTCAAAGTTGCCCGGACCGGCCATGAAAGCCTGGTACTGCTCATCTTCTGTATTCGAGTCCTCCGCGTTCATCCAGTATAGTAACTTGAGGTCAGCACTATCAGCAAGGGGGTTACTTGTCAACGAGACGGATCGCCGTATAGAAGAGCCGGGATCAGACGAGTCGTTAGGGTTTTGAGATGTCCGTTCAGACCGCGGAATTCTTTGGATGGCCATCGACCCATCCTTGCGTGTCACGGAGAACCCAAGGCGTTCGAGAAGCCTGCATAGCCTCTCATTTTGTGTATATAACCGCTGGGTGAGGTCTTTAGTGCGACCGTTGCGTACTTCGGATCGACTATTAAGGGCTTCTAATGTAGCATCGGACGCCTGTAGCTTCTCCTGGAACATTCGGACTTCCTCTTCAAGGCTACCTAATTGGGACTGTTTTGATGCCACTTGTTCGGTTAGCTCCGCAACTCTCTTTTCTTCATCTGCTAGTTTCTGCCGTAGCGTCTCTGATCCTGTTTCGCCCTCGGTCATCTTCATTCGGAGTTGGTTGAGTTGCGCTCGCCCTTCGTTCACTTCCATTTCAAGAGTGGCGCTTCTAGTCTTCTCCTTATCCAGCGTCTCCCGCAAGTGCACTGAGCTCATCTCTTCACTAGAAAGCTTCTCTTTCGCAGTATGTAGTTCGGATTTTACATCTTTGACAGTGGCCTGGGCACGCTCTAGATCAGCCCTCGTTAGAGATATGTCTTGTTCGAGGGATTTCAATCTAGCCAAAACATCATTAGATTTGGTCGCGACGGAATCTGTAAGATCTGAAAAGTCTTGAGGAGGTTCGTCCGTTGGAGATAACTGGCCGTAAAGCTCCCTGAGCGAGCGAGCATGCGTATCCATACTGTCGAAGAAAGTTTCAGCTCGCTTATTTAGCTCTTTGACTTTTTCACGCGATTCCTTTAACTCCCTCTCAAGAGACACATTGCGTTCTCTCTGAACTCGAGCTTCGTTACGTAAAAACTCGACTTGTCCCTGTGTTCTTAGAGCATCATCCCTCTTCTCTTTAGTAAGACGATCAACCTCGGCTTCGAGAGAGTGAAGTTTCTCATCGTACGTCAACTTCTCATTTTCTCTAGATTCTCCGAAATGTTCGATCTCATCTTCGGTCTCTTCGAGGCGGGCCTTCAGCGCTTTGACTTCGTCCTCCAAGGATTTACGCTCTTCCATGAATTCTCTCTTTAGGGCCTCCATATTTCCTAAAAGATCTTGCTTCGTGGAGTTCACTTCGTCCATACGGCCTTTCAGTTCGGCGTGAGCATTCGCTTCTTTCTCTAGAATTGCAGACCGTTCTCTCTGAGCACTTAGATCTCCTTCTAACTGCGCAATGCGATGGTATAGAGCCTCATTGCCGTCTGAGACAATCGATTGTCGCCGATCATCGGACACTCGGGGTGATTTAACGGAGCCGGTCGAGTCGTTTTGTTGGGGTTGAAAGATATTACCTAAAGGTGACGGTCTTGATACCTGAGTTTGACGATGCAAGAGATCTTCTAGCCGGCGGACTCGACTCTCAGCTGTCCTCAACTTATTCTCTAGTTTAGACTTATCTCCTTGCAAGCTTCTAAGAAGATCGTCATCTCCGCGAATAAGCAGACCGCTTCTCCCAAGCGCTGCTTCATGTACACTGCCATTCTTGAAAGCTTTCAGCCGTTTCGACTGCTGCTTTGTTGGATTGCTGAGGTCGTTTATTAGCTTGGTGATATCGCCCAAAACTCCTGCATCCGCATTATATCGCCTTAATACGGTCAGGAACTCATCAAGCTCTTGCTTCGTCATCTGAGGCCAAGATTCATCATCACCATGAAGGTTGACCTCGAAGCCAAGTACGCTGCTCTCGGTCTTCTCTGGGCCATAGGTACTACCGACCATTTTATGCCACTTCCGGCGTCTCTTCAATTCCTCGTCTTGGAATATAGCCATTTCATTAAGCAGCGTCGAAGAATCGGCTTTTACCTTCTCCGACCATTCTCTACGCCGTATAGCCTCGGCGACAAAAGAGGCATACATATAAGGGAGCTGTTGAATGAGCCGCAGATAGTCGAAGGTAGTCATCTCCTCCTCTCCTTGGTTTATTGCGTGCATCTGAGTCTTGACACTATGGTGTACGCTGGTTATCTCAGCAATCCTACGCATGAAGGTAAGAGAATCAGCAGCAATACCGTTTCGCGCTTGGGTGACATAACGGAGCATGTCATCCATCTCAGAAGCTCGGGTTTGAATACTCGGTAAGAGCTGTTTCGTGTGATTAACAGCTGTTTTTGAAGCCTGCGGGATATCCTTTGCTTGATTAGTATACGACAGGGTGGTCTGGTAGTCCGTGTCGACCTTTCGTGCGACAGCCTCGATATCTTCCAGTAATTGGATACTGTCGCGTTTGTGCCCCATCACCGAGCGATCTAATAGTTTATTGAACTCCTGTATCAACTCTTCGCAGCCTCCAAACATCATCTCGACTGTCTTGTCTAACTCGGATATTTTATTATTGAACTTTCGAAGGGACGTAGCAGCGAGTTTCCCAGCTTTCCGAGTAGGCTCGGGGTCAATGAGATCCTCCAGCGTTGCTTGACGAGGCTTTCGAATGTCCTGACCTGTCATAAAATGCACCATCGTTGGGGAAATAGCAATGCTCCGTGCTAGCTCAAGGTATTGTTCCCAATTAGAAACCAGATTGGCATATTCGTCTTGAATAGGCGTTGCCCATTTTTTGAGTTCCGAGTGCTTTGGATCTATTAACTTAACACTGTTGTCGAGATTTGCTACGGCGGCATCGAGACATTTTAGCATGACATCTATTTCATTATACCGCACCTGGGCCGCATCGGCCATGATGGTGCAGTCTTCTACGACCTTCAGGGTCCAGTCGCGACGTCTTTTGAATAGATCCTGCCATGATTGTAGCGTGTGCGTGTTCTCGATCGAGTTCGGGGGAGTAGATACAGTATATCGTTTAGGCACGGGGGACTCGGAGATAAGAGCGCTGGCAGCGCCAGGCGAAGAAGCTTGAGTTATTCGAATATCATAAACGTATACCTCCTTCTAATGAACATGTTAATCTCAAGTTTATACATGGGTCTAACTGAGGGACGTTAAGGTAGACAAACCTCAGATTGTATGCTCTGGATCTTGACAGTCTTTCCTTGCGATGTAAGAGCAACAATATTCTGGATGGGTATGGAGCTTTGCCGGGCAACCCACGCCTTGAAATCATCTAAGCTACAAGAAGAGAATAAAGCCGTTAGCAGAAGTACTCATGCAAACTAATAAAATGCGGTAGGCCACATACTCAAATCAGTGTAAGAAATGGAATACGTACGATGAGAACTGAGCGGTATCGACCTGCAGGCGCTGGCCCGTGTGGGCAATCAACACCTGCGTCTGCGTCGCCATGATTTATACAGTCCATCCCCTGAAAGAATGAAGTAAATGATGCGACAACAGATATGACGTTCCAGATATGCAGAGCCCTAAGGTGGGAAACTCAAGCGTTGACAAGCCACCGGAGGAATAATGGAGATGGCAAGTGAAGCTTTATCTTTCTGTATCGGAGCTCAACGTCAGCTGGCAGGCAGTCAGGCGCCGTTCGTACATAAGGCTCCTTCCGATTTCTCTGTAATTCGTCACCGATGATCCACAAATTTTGCTGGGGACGGACTATGTAAACCTAGACCCCCTGGCGCTTAAGTACATAAATGATCTACTTCAGATCCGATACACGAATCACATGCATCCAGGTACCACGAACACCTAACAATATACGTGTAAATCCCATTCGTGTAATAAAGTGTATCAAGCTTCCATAGTAGAAAATTTTACAAGTCGAAGTTGAAGCCTAATGATTTAAATATAATTTGCGTATATTATATACGTAGGCTGGGCATAACTTTGGTTTGCGCCAAATGCGTTACACTATAGCTTTAACTTGAAGTTTGTTATTTAGCGTGTTAATGTGACAACAAACGTGGGATCTAAACGCGAACAATCAAGCCACGTTCGACCTTGAAGTACAGCCACATCTATTGAATGTGACAAGCCTAATACTAAGGTTCTTACCTCCATTGTAATCTTGTAAAAGAAGCGATAGCGAAGCGAAAGTGTGTTTCATAATAAAATAAAGATCATCTCACACGCTTGTGTTTCAAACAAACGGCCTTTACATCGTATATGCTCATTCGCAAAAGGAGATGGCGGGTGGAACGATTCACGAACCAACGCCACTCCTCCTTTCAGATGATGAGAAACGTATTCTAGGTTTACATGATCGCCTTCAGCAGCTTCAATTAGAGATCGCCTTACTCACAGCCCAGAAGAATTACGACCCACGTAAGTTTCTACTATCAACCTATAAAGTATACATGGAATCTAATTAATACTAGGTACAAGTCCACCTACAGGAGATGGGAACATAGAAGCAGCCCAGAAAGCGCTTCTGGATTCAAGATCCAAATATGTCCTCCGGAATCAAGTAGTAGACAGCGTTGTGGCTGCCAATCCAATCCTACAAGCAGTGCACAACGGTACAAAAGCATCTCCGATAGAAAGGTAGGACTTACAACATTCACCCCTACGCCATTATTTCTAACTCTAGTCCGTAATTCTATAGGGACTTACTGCCCATTCTAGAACAACGCGACCAGTCATCTTCAGCGTTAGCACAGCAGTCCTCGGAGTTACGCACACTGCTTGACGAGATCACGGAGGTGGAGAGTCAGAGTCTACGCCTCGGTCGCGAGAACGTGGAGCTGGCGTCCAAGTTGCTCGAACTTGCCGAGCAGACGAATCGGAATAAGGCAGAGGCGGTTAACCTGGATCCGGAGCGGGCAGCTGAGGTCTCGAGCCTAGAGGGCCAGGTTAAGCTAAGTAGACAGAGATGGCGGGTCCTGAAAGGCACTGCAAGCGCAGTGGTTGCCGGTAGTGGAGTTGATTGGTCTAGAGATTCTGAGCTGAGGGATATTGTCTTGGACCCCGAAAACGAGGATGAAGCGTGATAAAGAAGTTCAAGATTCCGTATATTGACGAGAAGAGCACGTTCGATGATACCCACCTGAGTAATAATCCCACTAATCTGGCAATACTATTCTTTACCTTCATATGTGAAAACTCCGAGTCTACAAGCCCTGGAATAATGCACCTGAGCCTTTGAGTTGTCACAATGTTACCTCACAGATATAGATACCTAACCCTATTATCACTACTTATCTAGACCCATACCAGTTTTGATAGTCGATTTCCAACGCATCCGTTCCTGATAGATAGGGCTTAGCGTAGTCAGTCTTGGCCGAAGCAGGCATGAATCACGTGGAATAAATCTATTTTAGGATTTTGATGTGATGTATCGAATCGAATGTTAGCTAGTACATAGAGCAACCCAGGTCTCGTACATCGATTAAGGTGCTGTAGAAGGCTATTCTCCTGGCAGCAGGTCAGCTATCATTGCATGAAGTATACTGCAAGCACATATGGACATAAAAAAAATGGAGATATTGTTGACGAGGCAAGCCGTGCTTTAACTGATGGATGGATCATTATATCAGACATGACGTAAACAAAATGGCGTGTAGAATCAGCCTGGGCTTTGTGTTTACACATGTAGACTTATTTAAAAGACAGAGTTTAGGTAGTTAATTGTATTTTGCCTCTGACGGAATCAATGCTTGTTTTGCCATGGTGTTATCGACGGTGGAGAATCTTGAAGGGAAGAAAAGGTCGTCATCGTTACGCTAATAAAAAACACCATAATCAATATGGAAATGAAGAAGAACGCGAACACAGTGTACGATGCAAATGAGACCATTCCCGAAGCATCTCTTGGTGTAACCCGCAGCTCTGTGCAATATGATGTACCTGTTTAAACATGTGGTACCTGGCTGTCTTTCGATGACTTTGGCCTAGCAAGACACCCGATGCCCTAGAATCAAGAATGAGAGACAGTCTTCCTAGCCTGTCGCTAGTAAAGCGGCCTGTTTGAACGGATCAAGACAAGACATGGCGTACACATGAGAACACCACAATATGAATTGTTGGTGCTTGGGTATATCATGCAGAGAGATCTGACTAATAAAATCCATCGCGGTCTAATATAATTTTTACTCGAGGATTCGCATCGCGTCCCTCGTCGTCCTTAACTAACATAACTTATTTGTCCGCTTGTAGATTGTAACGAGTTTACAGTAAGGTGTTGCAAATGCTTGCTCATAATGCGACTCGATAATATGGTGATACAACTCCAAATCGGTGCGACTGGATTTGCGACTGGATTGCATTGCTCATATTGCTACAATAGGGGGGGCTTATTCCTTGAAGGATGTGCAAGCTTGAGCAGGCTGGCTTACGGGACTCTGCGGGATGAAGTTACGCCAGTACAACAACTAGGATAACCGCAATGCAGGCTCTTAAAGATTATTGGTCCATAAAATGGCTGCGTTGATATTTGCCTGTGTGAACGTATTGGGTTGGAACAGCCCCTTGGTAATATCCCCCAAGAATATCGTGCGTGTTATGGATAGTTTACGCGATTCATACCCGTCTAGTGGTTAGAGATGCCATATAAAATATCCAATAATCATCGGGCTATGATATCGTAAAGAGGGTAAAGTATTAGGACAAGGGCTGTGGGAGTCTAGATTTTCTTAGCACTTTGGAAATGAAACGGAGAGTATATCGCGAAAATGAAATAAAACGTCGCCATGGAAGTGTTTTACTAAGGCAAACGGAGATAAGAGAGAATAAAATACTGGACTACGTAATCCAGCTGGATAATATTACCGTTATAAAGCTGGAAGACTTGGGTTGAGTGGTTGACAAAAATTGTGAGGGGCCAATTCTGTTTGGGGGTGGGATGCGTAAGAAAGGGGAGAAAGGCAGAGAAACTGGTGCAAAGGGTGAAGAGGGGGAATGTCAGACTCCCAGAACTGCAGCCAGAAATTTCGTGTGGTGGTAATCAGCTGCAAAGGACCAGACCAGGCAAAAAAGGCATAAAAAAAGGCCATCCCATCCACCCAGGGAGCCCAGGCCTGATAGGTAAAAGGGAAGTACCTAGCATGGGTGATGTACATTTACGCTAACAAGGAAGCGTAAAGTACTTCCAAGCCATAGTGTACAATCATCAATTGTGATGCACCCGGGGCAGTCTCCAGTTTGAGGTACATACAGTCTGTACGTACATGTACGTACGCGCGTGGGCTTAACGCTGTACCTCCAGATAGCTTTCCCTAAGCCGTCTGGTTTTCGCATTCTCCTTTTGTTTTTGGTTTCCTCTTCTTCTCTATGCAATGCAGCACTTCCAACTTATGCATCGTTTTTCCCTTGTCTTTTGATGAGATGCAAGAGTGCAACTAAGGTTGAAGGAAGTAAGATGCATGTACGTATGTAGAGGTAGCAGGTTACCTACATACATGTAGGTTGAATAATTGAAGCATCATAGCGGAAATAGAGTCTTGTGTGTTTATGGTTGTTTTAGGAATGGAGGCACGTTAGGTAATAAGTGATTAAACGTTGATTCCCGAAGCATTGACGCAAAAAAGAGGAAATCAGTGATGCCACTCCATCGAGGTACACAGTATCAGACATCCGACTAAGACCTGGTAGGAGCCTGGTGATGCTGTACTATGAGTTTTCCCCCTTTTCGTCTAGTCTTTTCTCTATCTACCCCCAGCGGCATTCTGCTCAATATCCTTCGGAGAAACTGCAACCATTTCCCGCGTTGTTTTCATAGGCAGAGTAGGGGGAAGTTTGAGAAGGACAACAGAATGTATGTACGCGGTATAAAGATACCTATTACCGGTAACCACTTTATATTAGGTAACGTACCGTCCTACGCAAAAAATAAAAAAGATAAAAAGGGGTCATAAATTGGTTGCTTTGCAGCTTTGCAGCTTTGCATACCTACATTGTAGGTATGCTCAAGAAGAATGACCAGGACTGGCTGGGCTGGACTGGCTGGACCAGTTGCCGCTATGAGCGATGAATGAAAGAGTGAATGAAAATAGATTGATGAAGAACAAGTGATACAGTAATGGTGTAATATGTACATAAACAAAGCAACATGGCAACATACCTAATATTTCCTCCCATAATGTTGACCGTTTTAAACATTCAAGATAATAATGATATGTATATACATAGCCGAAGGTACAGTGATTCTTACAGTGCAATAAGCACTGTGGCGTAGAGGACCTACTTCCCTGTATCGTGCTTATTGCAACGTCCAAACCGACTAATAACACACAGGGTATGAGAAGTACCTCCCTACCGAAATTGGGTAGACAAGGTACTAGGCGACCTAGGTAGGCAAAGCCTGCACACAGAAATTCTCTAACCTGAGAACAAACCAGTGGTTACTCGCTTGGGCTTGGTTACCTCCAGTTCCCTGCTTCCCCTACCACCTGCTCAGGTACCTACCTAGGTAGCTCTCCAACCAAAATCACTCGGCCACTGTGCCTACCTTACGGTCTGTCTATCGCTTGCCCGCTTTTTGGTGCAGACCCCCCCTCCCTCTTTGCACCCTCCCTTAGAAATTGGGGCAGTCTCAAGTCTGGCTTTGCACACAATCACCCAGGCGCAGTAAAAAGGCAGTAGGCCAACGCTCCCCCCATACAAATTTCCCTTTCTTCTCCCACATACAAATCTCCCACCTAAATCGTCTCTCATACAAACGCAGCCTACACTCAACCTCAATAGCTGCCCATACAAATTGTGAGTACCTCCGTTTATATGGCACTGCACTGCAAACATCAAGTCACCTCAACCACTTCCTTACATTGCGCGCATCTTGTCGTCCCAGCAATGTCAATTCGTCTCTAAATAGATGCATCATGTTTTTAACATGATTTGCATCATCGTCGGATGTTTTGAAGCTTATTCAATAGCTTCTGTTGATATTGACTGCTGCATCGACTTCTTGCGAATTCATTATCATATTTTCCTAGTCCACCCTGCATTTTAGACTGGGCAATTCCACTGACTGCGATTGCGCGCAACAGCTTTATTCTTCCACAACATAACTGTCCAAGTTTTTAAGAAGTACTTCAAGGTATGCATTTGGGTCTACTTTGCTCGATTCCAAGCTTCAAGTCGCGGTTTTCACGCGTTGGCGCATACAATTGCATTTGCGACAACAGCGCATCGCATTCAACATGACCCTGCATCACCACCTCAACATCTTATCCATATGCCCCTCATTCGCACTTATTCGAGCTGTCGCCCAACCGCGCCACCCAACGACCGATTCCCTCATTCAGCACACTCACCCTACCACATAGCCTCTTACCACTCAATCTTAAGCACGCATGTCTATTTAGGCCAACAGGAACTAACATATAATTCCATTAGAACACCAGTCAAAATGCCAAAGGAAGCAACCAAGCGTGGCAAGGCCGGCAAGGTCGAGAAGAGAAAAGGAAAGAAGGGTAAGTCATATACGGTCGCTGCTTTCATATATTCGGTCTAGATGCATCCCAATTCTGGTATCCAATCCAGCATGTCTTTACTACATTGTTGCTCCCAGATGGCTAGAGTCTTCAAGAGTGCTACAAGATATCATCCAACCGTTGCCAGCACACCATCAAGCTCGCATAGTTGTTAGAATAGTCACTAACTCGTTGGACATAGACCCCAACGCACCCAAGCGTGGTCTCTCGGCCTACATGTTTTTCGCCAATGAGCAACGAGAGAACGTCCGTGACGAGAACCCTGGTATCTCATTTGGTAAGTTCTGCTAGTAGTACGCCAAGTCTTCTCATACTGACTCCGTCATAGGCCAGGTTGGCAAGATCCTTGGTGAACGATGGAAGGCGCTCAACGACAAGCAACGTGCCCCTTATGAAGCCAAGGCAGCGGCCGATAAGAAGCGATATGAGGACGAAAAGCAAGCCTACCAGGTAATTTACCCGCATTCCTCTTATTAATATGCAGCGCTGAGCGTGACTAATTAGGCCGAATCCGATTAGGCTGGCGGAGATGATCAGAGCGAATAGTAATGTCCTCTTATCTTGCCCGCTTGTTGGTCACGAGGTTTCACGACGAGATGATTCTGGTCGTGCGGCCTAGGGAGCCTTTTGACCGTGGTAAATGGCACAAGTTTCCTTTCCAGTCTAATGCGTATGGGATCGGTCGGTGTTGATGCACAGGGAAAGGGACATTGTGCTTTAGTTTTCTTTTACATCATTTTCACTCTGACTGGACCAGAGTTCGGGGAAATTACCCTGGTCCGGTGGCGTTGTCGCAGCTAATTTAAGCTAGCCATCTTGCAACGAAGCACGAAGCTATCACGTCGGTGCTTCTCAACAACGCGATGTAAAAATAGTTTGCTCTTACCATTGAAGAGAGTTGTCCGCACACTAGTATTTAGTCCCAGCTGCTGGCCCCATTACTCTAGCTCGTGATAGAATGATTACGGATACAATACTATGCAAGCGCGGCGTTCCCACGTGGCCAAATCCAACCCAAGCCGTCCCGTGCCCGGTAAACAGATGCATGCGAGGATCTTGTCCCGGAGATCTGGATAGTCAGGGGTCTGACCGAGAGAGGTGTGGGAGCAGACGTGGCTGAGATCCTTGCCCGACCTGTTTCCAACTTTCCCTACCCTCCTTATTCACAACAACGCCGCAAACGCAAGGCTGTAGGAGTAAAGCGAACTGCCTGGAACTTTGTAGCCTATCAAGTCATCCTTAAACATCAGGTAGGTACATATATATATATATATATATATATATAGTTGGCTTCTCCGAGTTTTCGTTGTTGTTTTTTCCGACCATGTCACCATGGTTAGACTGGACTCACGATTGGCCCATACAGAAGGGAAATGGTTGATTCAATTAAGCCAATCATAAGGGTCCTAAATTAAGACACAGCATCCAGTCGCGTCTTCGGCGACGGCGGCAGTAGCATATGCAGGGCAGCATAGGTAGGTACTCACCAAGATATCGTCCGTCATACAGCATACGTATCCCTACATATCGATCTAATATATTGCCCAGATCAGTCAGATCTGACACTCATGCGTACTAGCTGCCCAACCAACTCGCTCTGGGACTGGGAATGCATGCAAGCGCTGTTTGTAAAGTAACGCAACGAAGCATCGGGTTCATCGCACGCCATCGGACCCTCGATCGGAGCTGTGTATCAGTCCCTCGACCAGAGCTACATAGAGATGATGCTGATGTCCTTTCCTTATAAGATACTAGGTTAGTCTATCATGCTGCATGTTCCATGATATACAGCATTCGGATCCACCCTACACTTACCCGATAGCCTGCTGGGCAAGATGGTATACTAATATTCTATCACCATCTAATACGGTCGTTCCTGTTTATATACGATCATGTTTTATTGATCAGGTATTATTTTCGATCGCAATATTTTTTTTAGCCGCCTAGCAAGCGCTGGCAGACATATATCCCGGACTGCAGACATTATCGCCGGCCAAAATTTGGTACGCGTCGGCGCTTACGAGACGAGCGGTAATGTCCATCACAGAAAGTCATAATCGCTAGAAGTTTTGTCTTTGTTGGATTTTTTCCCGCTTCGTTATTTATTATCCCATCATCAATTCCGGGCTCGCGCCAGGCCGCAGACAGACAGACAAGCGCAAAGCTGCCCGGCAAGCATCGTCATGACAAAACCCCTCGTCCCTCGTCCCTCGTCCAGTCCGCTTTCTTCCCTGCATATTATCTTATGCAAGTGCTCCCTTCTCCGCGCCGTGAGCGTGGTAGCACCATGGCCCGCTCTACGCCTGATCCGGTCTCTGCGGACAAGGTCCACCAATCCCTGGTGCATACGCTTGCTTAGAGGTTCGCTGCCGGGCTTCGTGGCAGTCTCTTACTTGAGTCAAGGTAATAATGTTTGAAAGACCACTTCCAGAGCTGCCCGCAACGGCAAACTTCCGAACAGACAGCCAAGCCAAGCCAATTGGCGGTGGTTTTTTTTTCCGGTTTTTTTTTCTTAAATGTTCCTTTCTTTTTTATGCCTTTCCTATCTTGATCGTCCTCATACTCATTTATGTACGTCTGTGTCGGCTGATTCCTTCATTGGACCTGATTAATATCATCTCTACGGATTGCCACTCGGAGCAAAGGGTTATTATTTATTTTTTTGTTCCGTCGATTAATTTCGTATTTATGCACTTCTCACCGGCATCAGGATAGCTGAGCCACGCACGCATTTCTATCTCGGTCAAGATTATATTATAGTAAAATACTAAAATACCAAAATTCAGATCTGAGATTATATAGTCGCTAGTTTTCATACGATTATAGCCGCATCATCGTATAATTAGTATTATCCTCTCTTTTTCCACCTTCGGTGCTTGTCCACACGAACTCCACACACACACACATACGGCCTTCTTCGGATCGAGCCTTTTCTCTGTTGGGGAATGCATACCTAACACGTCACCCCACCGTCGTTGGGCTCTGGATTCACGTTATATGAGATTTGCAGAAGCACACTTCCTCTCACGGGCAAGATTCTCATTACGTCTAAATCTTATTAGGTATAAGACAAACTCTTCTTGAGTCTACCCTCGCTAGTCAATTCATTCTCAAAATTCCCCCTCCCCACACGGCCAACTACCTCTCGTGTGGAGACGGTGATCTTCCGGGTGCTTATCAACAACCGAGTGAGAATCTTAGTGTTCCTAAACGACGCTATACTATCACGTTAATATCGATTTCGTTCGCTTTCTGCTACCTTCTGGAACCGGCATCAGCTGCAAGTACTGTGAGGCTTGGTGTGTAACGAAACCGAGTCCCGTGGTGGCTGTGGAGGATAAGCTGGATAGGCCACCTTTTTCTCTTCTGCGGTGAGATATCTTGATTACTTGCCATCATGGGATCGTAAGAGCTTCATTAGCCATGGATCCGATTCTACAGCGTAATAGAACCCCGACCGCCAGGGTGGCGGTCCAACAGCTCAGCCCTCAGTTGCTCAATGGCTGTTTTCTCGAGGCTGATCGTGCCGATATGGTTGGCTTCAACCTTCAAGGGCTACGAAATTGTCTCCCAGAGCAGTTCCATCCCCATCTAAGCGGGATTATTGAAGAGATATATAACACAAGCCGTTTACTACGCGACCTTGCAGAGCAAGCCCAGATTCACGTCTCTCAGTTGCCCGCAGTCTTTGACTATCTGAACGTCGTCTTGCCATGTCTCTGCAAAACGCTCCGGGATATCATGTCGTTCTACGAAGACAAGTCAATGAACAAAGAGCACCGATGGAGGACCATGTACCATAAACTTGGTAACGAACTCCCTGGTACCACTCTACCGGCTAGATTTATCATGTATAATCAATTCCTGCGGCTGCTCCAGGAACTTCTAACAAGGTATGGTTCCTACCACCCCAGTTGACTCGTTAATAGATCCTTCTGCTACCCAGTTAGATAGGTCCCCGAACTTCGATTTGAACGGGATGGAATCCTTGCGCATCCGTATTCTCCAACTACGTGCAGCTAGGAAGATACGTCAGTAACTCATGCCTCCTTATTATTACAATGTAGCTGATCCCTCTTTTAGCCCCGCCAAGTCCTATCAGAACGGATCTCATCCGACGAGACGAGGCGTTGGAGTTCTGGAATCAAGAGACAGTAAGCCTTTCGACGCTTCTTTCTAGGGGCAGTTGTATTGAACCCGGGCAGAATTCGCACTGGGCAGAGGCAATCTTTACTCAACCCCTGCCATCGCGGAGGGAATTTAAGCATCAAGGACGGTAAGTTATTTGCTTCTCTAACTGGACGCTTTAGGGTTAAATTGCAGCTAATTCTCGGACAGCTCAGATGCGTTCGGGCCTTTGCAGAAACTCGGCCATCTCCCGCCACTTCCACGAGACGTCAAGATATTAATCAAAAGGTAACTATCCGTCTAATTTCCTCATAGTGCAGGCTTACTTCGGTAATTACGTACGATATACTGATATACATCCCAGGTCATTCGATAGCGACCGCATCTCAGTTATTTTCTTCTTGCAGCTTAGAGACCAGGCGCCATCGCTTCTGATCCGATCGAAAGTCGCCAGCCAAAACTGGGTCTCCGTCCTCGGTGTCCACGAACTCTCTATTCGAAGAGAGAGCGACTCTGTCCTGCACTTATCTAGATGGAGCCGCTCAGAGCGGAAAGTCAAGCCTTGGGCAGACTTATCGTTTCTGACTTGGGAAGGTTAGCTTTCCCCGAGACTTGAAAAGATTCATATTATTAAAGAGCTAAGCTGACTGACTGGGAGTAGAAATGGTGCTCTTTTACTGCACATTTCTGTGCCTGCGAGTCCGTAGCCAACTTACACTCAACGTCAACCCTGCTGAATATCACATTCGCAAGGAGAGGCGTCTGTTTCAAGCGTGAGTTATAAAGACACTACCTACACAACGAAGCAGCGAGGCTGACATGTAAACTCTAGCCAAATCATTGATGATGGTTATCAACATGTTCTAATGGTATTCGAGGATAGCGCCACGGGTGGCTGCCGCCTCCATGCTGCTGTCTGGGAAGGCAAGCTGCGAGCGTGTCCCGTATGGACAGCATTTAGTATGTGCTCATTTACGCGTTCAAACCGCAATTCTCCTTGTTCTTATTCTTATTCTTGTCTCTACTGCTACTGTGTTGTCCCATCATCGACTAATTGTGATCTTCCCCTATTAGTTCCGCCGAACGTGTCTTCGTCCTGGCTCCTCCGCAAATCGAAGCGTCGCATCTGGCTGCGTGATATACAACCATACGTGTTTTGGGAGAAATATCGACCCACGAACCAGCGCAAGGGTCGCCTTGGCGCGTTCGAACTTGCATTCGCAAATAGCGAGGCCGCCACGCGGTTTCAGGAGCTGTTCGCCTCGTCGCCGGATACATCAGCTGCGTCGGTTCCCCCGGATCCCTCCGAACAAAATGATAGGGTTGCGGATGCTAGTTAGTCTATTTATACGAAACGGACAAGAGAAAACGAGAGTAAACAGCCTCTCTAGAGACGATATAATATATACCATACGGATAATAGCGCCGAAAAATTTATTGAGATCTTTTCTCTCTTCCCAGATGTTCCATTTATTCACGAGGCTGCGCGAACTCGGATATAGCTCCTCGACTAGAGTAGCCAGCTCGCACAAAAACCGAGGTTTATACGATTGGAACATAAAAGAGCACATACGACATACCTAACTCAATTTCCCGAAACGACAGGATTTACGACAGACACGCGTTTGCATGACTACATCCACGAGTTAACGAAGCTCACGATATTTCCTATGTTACATTTCCCCTAACGAGATTGACGACTGAAAACGATGATGACGACGAGAGAGGCAGATTGTTCGATGATACCCCCTTTTCTTTATCATAGCATTCAGCGAAATCTTGATTTACTTCCACATTATTTAACATGTTCATTTCACATATATCTATGGTCATTTGACGTACGCGTGATTAAGTTAATAATGGCTCCGTCAATAATGAGTTTTATTTACGTATGGGGGGCGAGGAGGAAGAGGTTATTCTATGCCTGTCTAATTGTCGGTGGGTCGAACAATAGTTCAAGTTGGAGGAGGTCCTTTTTAGCCATTATTTTTGATAAACATAATTCTCTTATATAATTTATAGTCAAAGTGACCACACAAAAGCATCGCATTTCTATTACTAAAGACCCTGTTAGTCCTGCGTCGCTACTAGGGAGCTCATTCGTTGTGTTAGGCGGAGTTCATATGATTTATAGGACCGGCCGGTAGTCGTAGTGTTAGTAGGGAAAGTAGTAGGGAAGCGAGAGAATCAGGACACAGGTGTATACATAGATGCTACTACTTTAAGGGGAACGCAGTACTTTTTATAGGGTAGAGTACAGGAAAGGCAACTATAAGTACAGCTCAATCCCTTCCCAGCCGAAATATCTAATATCCACACCCCTCGTAGGCCGATTTCCTTGATACTCCAGCTATATTCATCCCTTAAAGCCTAATAAAAGACGGTTGTCCGTGTCAAGGCTTGAATCTAGATCGCTCTCAGGCCCCACGACTTGATACGAGGATCGTTTGTATGTACCAGTCGTCTCAATGCCTCAAGGGAAGAGTAGTCGCTGAGAACTCGGATGCGAAGAAGTTTGTCCGTGGGATCTTTATGGGGCCAAATTATACCATCGGTTGCGTACCACGGGCCGTGTGACTTGTTCCAGATCTTGTCTATTGGCGACTCTGGATCGTTATGGAAGCGTGGGTGGTTGAGTAGCTCCGTTCTGTACATAGCCTCTCGATACATGCGCAAATGCCCCGGGTTTGAGATAATAGGGTATGAGTTGTAGGAGAAATTCGACCACTCTGCACGCATTGGAACAATATCGGTCCTGGTTGGGCAACACCAACGATAGAGTTTTTGTATGCCGACAACTTTTGCGAAGGATTCCAGCTTCATCCATTTATACGGATCTTGCTGTCCCATGTGAACTACCCGTTGCCCGTTTAGAATCCCATTATTGCTGAAGCATTTGCAACCCGGACCATGTTGAGCTTTCGGTAGAGTGATATGATTCTTGTCCAGTGCAACTATAAATCATGTAAGATTAGATTCCACGTAAAGGGGGTGGCATAATACAATAGCAAGGAATCTTTACGTACCCAAGAACCTATACGGCCAATTACTAATGGCCTCCACCTGGATAAGCTCTCCATAACAGAAGTTGGCCCGGAAATCGATCACCCATTCTGGGTATGGAGGGCTTTCCAAAAAGGGTGTAAGTGTATATTTGTATCGATTAGGCATCTGATGAAATAGATTAAGAAGTATTTCGCGCAAATAAAGAGCTCGAATCTTTCGGGCATGCTCTGTGGCCGTCTCTGGAATAATATCATGAAGCTCTGGTATCCTAAGTCCATACTCGCTTTCTAGTATGTGCTCGGCTGCATCCTGGAGCTCGGGGAGATGAAAGGCAGTGTACATCCGAAATAGCTTGATATCCCATTCACGATGGTGGACGTAGTCATTGAAGAACTGCTTCAACTCAGATTTATCTAGGGGATTGACTTTGCGGGACTCAATAGCCATAACAGCCAACTTGTAGTCATTCGGGTCAAGCCGGCGAAGGATGAGGGCCTTGGCGATGTGATTGGAACTTTCGACGTAAACCTTGTAGAATCTCTTTGATGCGAGAAACAGTGAACGAACTTCTCTGGCACTCTCCATGGAAGTGAATATCTCGACGACAATCTCGGTAGGCATGCTTTTAATACCGCTTTCTGCAACTTGTCGTGCCATGATGTGAAAGGGAGAATATACCCCAGACATAACACGGGGAGCTAGATGGGTATGTATGAAAGAAGAAATAATAGGTACGTAGTAGACGCAAAAGTAAAAGATAAAAGGCGTGATTGTTCTGAGCGTCAAAGAGCTGTAGGATTTTTATACGCGGGGTGATGTGAAATGGGATGCTAGTAGTTGGAAACTCTTGAGACGTCGACACTTGGGAAGCATATATACTTTTGGGAGCTTGAGTGCAAACATTTACTTATCTAGTATCCGAAGCGGTATGTGATGTCTCCCGACGGGATGCGTGAGAATTAAAATAAGGTACCTAATGCAGTGAGTTGTGCGTATCTAAAGTTGCATGTACTTAGGTACGCACAAGGCGCAATACGATAAGAATCTACGTCCTAGTTGACAGGTGCTTATCACCTAGGTGACTTATATGTTTCTGGTTCCATTCAGGCCAAAAAGCCACGTCACGGTGTATAATCTCCAAGTCAACCCTATTCTGATTGTTTTGGGTGGGGGGCGCTATGATTGTATATAACCTCATGTAGCAAAAACGTTGACTGACTAACCGAATGAGTCATTACCTCAAAGAAAACTAATATGGATACGGTAGTGGTTTAGTTAATCATCTGGTATGAGTTTGCTAGGACTAAATACTTGTGACTATCATGAGGTGGATGTGGAAAATATGGAAGCCCGTGACTACCTACCTATGCATACTGAAAATATTCTCATCTGGAATCTTAGCAGCGGCATCAGGTGTAAATCTTTATTGGCCAAGCTACCTCAATTTCGCTCCAATTTGATAATATGGCCTACCCGTGAGACAACATACCAGTAACGATACTACAGAAGCAAATAGGCAAAAGAACAAGCTGTTGGATACACCTCTCCAGGCGCAATATTTAGATCTCAGCACCTAGAGCCTACTGCGCCACGACCCCCTATCTGGTGTCACATCTTCCATTGGACTTTATATGCTGGCTAAGCTGGGATCAACTTCTCGGGTAGAGCAATCTACCTAGTATTTGTTTGCGACTCCTTAGGAAGCAGGTGTCTACACTTGCTAGAATATTTGGTGCCCTGTCGTTCCCTAAATGGCTTCTTGCATCCAGCGTGTTGCTATATGAAGATAACCAGTTATTGAATGTGCCACGTGCTACTAAATTGCGGTAGTAACTATAATAAACGTACCTATGTACCCAGGTGAATTCTTTTCTTTCCTTATATCCTCTTTGACTGTTCAAACCCTACGTGATCCGGCGATACCGATCTGGTATCAACTCCTCAATGTGTTCAATATCTGTTATGTCCATTCTAACAATGTTTCATATTTTCTTGGGTAAAAAACATCCCATAAGTTATGAAAGATCCAACTTGAGGATGTGAAAGTTCTCATAGATTCCTAGAAATAGTACTAGACTAGGCTTGCTGAAATCCACCACATTCTACCTAATCACGTTGGCTTTGCTGGTTCCCCTGAAATTCACATCAAAATGTACTTCTCATTTCTGATATTTTCTTTATTACTTGGAGCTGATTTTTCACGGTAATAAATTAGCTGCTAGAAACTATGTGTCTAAACAACCACACCATTGCGGCCTGGAAAAGACAATTAAGAAGCATCGTTTTATATTTGTGAACAATGAAAAGATACAGCAAGACACAACTGGTATACTTGAGGAAGGATAGAACCAACTTAGATAGAGCTAGTCAATCAACTAACTTGCTCTCAATATTCTTCTTAAATGAGGGTGTATGCTATCCTTCGTACGAGATAAATGTCGTAACTTTGAAAATATTACCTAGTAAAGAGTTCGTGATAAAAGGTGGTCGTCAAGGCAACTGGCAGGTAATTGGCAGCCACGCACTCCAAAATCTAGATCCACGACTAACTCTACGCGGATATGGTTGCTTTAGTTTACCTTGTTATTCTGCCCTTAAAGAATGATTAGAAGTTCTAGACCTGATTGGCACTTAAGTATTTAGTGACCGTATCCGCCGTTGGCCAGATCAAACAATTGCGGCGCCGCCATTCAGACTAATAAAACTAAAGACACCATCCCGACGTTAAATTATGAGATATGAATACAGCCACGTGGAATACATGTGCTGACAATTAGGTATTCTTACCGTAATTTCTATTTAACTAGTACGAGCTGTACTACTTGTTGACAGCACTTATCTTTTGATTATTCTTGTGAAGCATGAGATGAGTTAGTAACGCAGAACTGGTAGCTAAATGACTGCCCGAGTGTATGTTAGAATGTGGCTGGAATATGGCTGGAATGTGGCTTGTATGGCCGGAAGGTGGATATTCCGGTTCCGGCGAATAATTCGGAATAATTCGGAATTATTCGTGTTGTGTAATTCGCGTGTAATAAAATAAAACACGTGTAATAAACACCTTACTTTGAATCATGAAAAAGGGATTTAATTGGCGCAAGTAACAATGGACTATGCTATGTGGACCATTGCTTGATTCGAGTTTCTCTCTAGCTATGTAGTCGGCTAGTTTACACTTGGGGAGACAGCATGTATTTTAGTCTAATTACACTCGCCAGTGGACTTTCGTAGAACAATGTTAAAATGAACGGCGTGCTCTATTGTCAACTATTACATTGGCGGTTGTGCCTGTCCTGACTTGATTCTGCTCAATCATGAATAGATAGTAACGACTAGAGTACCATTAGTTCCTGACCATACTCTAAACGACTCGAGTAGTCATAGTCCTAATATGAGCTGACTTGAATCTATGACGATTATGACAAATGCCAATAATATAATAATTTTTTGCCTGGAATTAGATGGGAGCTTATTGCTATTCCTTGACCATAAAGTTATATGAATCATGTGACAAGACAAAGTGAGCCTCTAGACTTCTGGAAATCCGGAGTTGGATGAAACAGCTTTGGGGAGAGTTGGGGTAATTGACACAGATCCGTATAGCGCATCGTACGCATTAGTTTAGTGCCATTGGTACCAAGATCCTCTTATTCGGGTTAGGTCTGCTGTCTACGGGGAACCAAGGAAAATGGTAGCTAGCATGCTTGACAAGCTTAAAACCAGACACACTATTCGTCTCGAAATAGAGTTAGAAGCTTAATTGTACAGACACCAAAAGCTTGTTCGGCTTGTCTTGCTCGTCTTCCGAATTATGTAGCTGGCATATCTGCGGTGGTACGTCGGTTATTCTAACCCAGGTGGGTTAATATCATGTCCGGAAAGGGGTTTCTATCCCGGTATTTTGACTGACAAATGCTCCAGTAATACTATGGTATAGTAATCCGCTATGACTTTTGCTATGCATTCATTACATACGCTCTTTCGGGGAAAACCTTCCGTGCAGCTGTAGCGTGGCGGACCTGCATCTAGTGTAATATGCCCGACCCCAAATCCCACATCCCCAACTAACGTCATGAAGAGTGATACTAAGGGCATCTAGCTCGTGGTAGAAAAGGAGCTTGAATAGCGGGTCTTCGAATCTCGATCTGGGCCCCCGGAAAGTTCTCCACTCATAGCATGGCGTCAAGCATCGGTATTCAGATTTTTTTTTAAGCTTGTAGGCTTGGTAAGCTTGGGCTGGAGCTCTAGACGACATTCGGTTTGATTCCTGTTAATGATATTGGCATGTCGCTCTAGCTTCTTTCTATTTGAGCCGCATTATAGGGAGGGAATATGCACCAGTCGTAAAGCCTCGGAGACATTCTTCGGAAAAGGGGTTGAGCTCCATCCTTACTACTACATTGTTGTATGAAGTGACGCTCTGCGTATGGGCATACTTTTACATATGAAAGTAATCTAGACCCTTCCCGTCAAGGAAATCGTTAGAGTCCGCACTACCTACAAGGGAGCCCAGGTGCCAAGCCCCTGACCGAGAGCTTCAGCAGTGGGGCGCCGGATTAAGGGAAGTCAGGTACGCATGCTAATCAGAGCTCTAAATGTCGATCAGTACATATATGTATGAAGAGAGTCTACACCTCACCCCAAAGTCATCCTGGACCATCAGCCCAAAGTCTAACCCAATAAGGCAAATGTGGACCTTCATTCCACCGTAATAGTATTAGCGCACCCAAAATTCAATTATTATTTCATTAATATTATATATGTATAAATATACATTTTATACACCGTTTTAAAATTTAATAAAATTTAATAAAATTGATTATTAATTAATTATTAATCGATTAATGATCGATTATCGATTAATCGATAATTAATTGGTTTATTTTATTTTTTTAAAAAACTTTAAGTATAACAGATTACATAAGCCATGTCACGTGTTGATTAGATTGCTGATTAGATAACAAACATCGCATGCCGCGCATGAAGCTATTCGCATTGCGCATCGTACTTACATATTTAAGTACCTAAATACCTTACTATACGCAACGCAATGCAATTACGAATTAATCCCTGTTTCCTTATTATTTCGTGGATGAAATGCCTCATATTTTGTAATTGAATTGAATTGAATTGAATCTAATGTGGGACCTTAAAATTTAACCAATCAAATCTTGCGCTTAGGCTGTTGGATCCAAGGTTTAAACCTTTGCCAAATCAGGTTAGACTTTGGGCTGATGGTCCAGGATAACTTTGGGATGAGCTGCGCCCTCGTATGAAGAGGGATTTGAACTGATTGGGGGCCAAAACTTGACGTCTGTCATAGATGTTCTAGTTTTGCTCCGTCTTTAAATCATGCCGGTTTATGTAATTATCCTGGACCTTCTGTTCCGTCTGTCTGGAATACCTAGTAGCATGTAGTCGGATGCGCCGTCAGCCTTTAGGGTCACTAGGGTATTGCTCAGACTTTAAAAGTTCCACCTCGTGGCTAGATTGCCACTCAGGCCATCATATGTCTAAGAACGAAACGGATCTGCTCCGAGCCGAGAAACACCTTGCCCGCCCTATAAGGCAATTTGAAAGTCGAAGAAAGCTTTCGGACTTATTGAATGGGAGCGGGCCTTTGGAGCCTTATAATATCTTGTTTCTCATTCCAAGCTCGTTTTCCTCTTTGGTATATTTCGTTGAAAATGCGACAGGAATATTAGTAGAATATAAAGTTTATTAGTGATATGGATGTATTCTTCATCACAACTTCACATTGACGATATGTTTAAGTAATGCCTGTGGTGATCGCTGTATATATGTAGTACGTAGTACATGGTAAAAATGACTCGGTCGATCAATGAGTGCCCGGGGGATTAAGATCTTATCTTTGAGGTGCATCCTTCCGGAGATCCATCACCTGAGGTTCCAGGGTTGGCATGACAGTTCAACATTTTCTCCAAATATTTCTCCAATTACATAGATACCTAACCTAGGTAGGTACGTAAGCATGGTAATGGTCAGGTTCTTGTGTTGGAAATTGAAACCTCGCTACTTCGTCACGTTTTTGGAAGTATGTTTCTACTTATTATTCTATAAACGTCTTCAGTATAGTCCCGTTTACCTACCAGGTCACGAAAGTTAAGGAACTTTAAAGAACTTAAATTACATAGTTAGTTAGATGATATAACTAGTTCTTAAATACCCATGTACGAAGGTCTGGGCCAAAAGTCTTGCACATGTGGAGGACCCTAACACCGTATTCAAACGTCATCCCTTTCTATTAACACTGTATCAGCTACCTGCTAAGCTGAAATTTGGATAGTGGCCCATACGCTGAATTTAGGTGGCTTGCCACTATATTTATAGCGATATTAGCCACTATAGCTGAAGTAATACCGTGCGGTCCTTTTTTTTACTTCCACATGGCTTGCCAAGACCAGATGTGCAAGACTTTTGGCCCGGACCTTCGTAACGTGTCTTAAATAGTGGCTAGATTTTCGCAACTTACATACATTCCGGGGTTGAGTACCGACATCCTTGTTTTGCTCTAGTGTTTTGCTTATCTCCACTACATAGCGGACCTTTATGCAAGGTCTTGTTGCGCGGACCCTCGTGCAGGGAAACCAGGAAACCAGGAAACTAGGAAACCAAGGGGTCTCTGTGGATGTAAAGTGACGAGAAGGAAATATGAAACCGAAGATCTCGGCCAATATCAGAGAAAAATCAGTCGAATACTGCAACCTTGAACCCACCCAGGCATGTATATACATGCAAAACATTAGACCCGCCGACCCTTTCAAAGGCTTATTTCAAAGGCTTATTTCAAAAGCTTATTCATACTAAGACACGGTGGAGTTGAATCTCGAGTTCTATTTGATATCGCCTCTAACCTCCCGCTACCCCGTGTCTGTGTGCGCTGCCTATTTCTTTAGACTACATTAAAAATCCACATACTAGTTAAATACCTATTCGACGCCCCTTTCGCCGTGCGATATCTGGGGTTTGGGACCATCTGGCTTTCTCTTAGCGTTGGACTATTGAAAAATTTCTAGGCGGACTTGGCCTACTAGACAGACATTCGCATCCAATTTCACTTCGCTTAGTATGATATTATAGATCTAAGCGGGACAGATCTGTATGAAGCCTCACTTTTATCAGTGATATTTTTTGAGCTTTGGATTTTTTATGGTATATCATCATCGTGTTCTGTTCTAACTCCCCATTTACAGGTGTTTGCAGGAGCATACACCAAGAGCGTCATCCAATTATCCAACTAGGAATCGTCAAAGATGGCGAGCCGCGATGGGATTCCTTCAAAATACTTCGAGCCGCCCAACAGCCTCTTGGCTATGGAGGACCATACTTACAACGGTCTCCTCGCTATAGGAACTCTCGCTACTATTTCACTAATCTTCACGAGCTCTCTTCTGAGTTTCATCACGTGGCGAATGATAACGTGGAAGTCCCATTACGCCAGTGCCGTCGGTCGAAATCAGTCAGTCGTGCTCATTTATCAGCTTATTCTCGCCGACTTCTTACAATCGCTGGGCTTTATGATATCATTTCACTGGGTGGCGGAGCGTCAGATCATTGGACCGAACGGGACGTGTTTTGCACAGGGTTGGCTAATTCAGCTCGGAGATGTCGCGAGCGCATTCTTCGTCCTCTCCATTGCGATACACACGACATACCAAGTTATCATCTCTAAAAGCTTATCATACAAATCATTCATTTACTGTGTGCTTGGCATTTGGGGACTTTCTTTACTTCTTACATCTCTCGCGCCTATGATTGGTGGTCGGTTTGTATTTCAGAGAGCTGGCGTTTGGGTGAGTGAACCTGCTACTATGGAATCTAAATACGAGTTATCTCGCCTAACACGAACGATAGTGCTGGATATCTACCGAAAATGAGGGACTTCGTCTTTCCCTCCACTATATATGGATCTTTATCGTCGAGTTTGGCTCTATCCTCGTCTACGCTACCGGTTTCTACTACCTTTTCCATGCCAAACGCTCGGATACAATGGTAGTACCTGCACGTAGTGCTGAGACTATGCGTAAAGCCCGAACTGCAATGTTGGCATACGCAATAGTTTATACACTCCTGAGTCTTCCACTAGCGTAAGTTGTATCTAAATATTGCTTGATGATCCCGGGCTGACACATCTTTAGTGCTGGGCGTATGGCTAGTATGTCGAACAATGAACTATCCGACGAATATTATTTGTTTGCTGGAGCTCTATTTACTTCTTCCGGTTGGGTTGACACCCTTCTTTATACCTTTACTCGACAGGCTTTACTATTCGACGAATTAAACGTTTACGGTCGCCGGCCTGGGACTCATGTGGAAAACGGCCATCACGGTAAAGATACGGGATTCCAGCGGCAGAGTAGCACGGACAGCATACTCGCCAATAATGGTTTTGGAAGTATTAGAGGAATTAAAATGGAGAGAACAGTGAAGGTGGAATTGGACGACTTTGACAGCAGTACTAGCAATGGAGGAAGAAGACAAGAATACTATGCAACGGCCGAGGCACTCAGACCATGAGCGAACGGGTCGATTCTGGAGGAATGTCAATGAGATATTATGGATATGAATTATAGTTCTGCTTGTTCAAGCCGCTACATGCCGTTTCTGCAGTCGAATTATGAACATTCCAACAGGCACTATTTATTTAACGATCTCTTTTAATTATAATGAGTAACAAGGTATTATTTAGCTATATTTGAAAATCGACTATCTAGGATTTAAGAGGAAATATTAAATATGTGCACGGTTTATGCTTCCCGGCGAGTGAAATGTTTCTTGGCCAATACGGATGCCATCCTATTTCGAACATAATGCAAGGTCGACTTAATCCCATTGGAACAGCTGCCATTGGAATACCTAGCCGGCATGTAGATCACAAGGACGATTACCTCATTGGTATGGGAAGACGCCTCCTATTGGCTGGGGTTGGTTCGAGGTAACACAATGGCTTTCCGTGCGCCTCAGCCTCCCACCATACTACAAAGGTAAGGTAAAAGCTATGTATGTCTTTGGAGGCGTTTAGAAGTGGCCGTCTGTTTATCAATAGTAACACAATCGCAAATTGCGTTATTTGGATCGTTGGCATGGCGAGTGGTTAACCATCTTCGATGCGGTGACCATGAGCAGCTCTATTGCCTCGAATATAGATTTGGTATCACTTCTAGGTGCTGATATAAGGTATATACATACGAACTTGTTACCCCAAGCTCGCGAACGTCAAAGTGCCTTGCGCCAGTAATCATCGACAACTCCTCAATCTGTTGCACCTTTCTTAGACTTCTTGGCTTTCTTGTGCTTCTTGTCACCAAATGCTTCCTCGTATACTTCTGCCGCCGTCACAACGGCTTTCCTTTTGGACTGCTTTGCTTTCACGCTGACAACTGGATTAGATTGGCCCTTCTGGGTGGCCTTCAATACTTGCTTCTCTGCTTCCTCCCAGCCGGGCGCATCACCCTCAATCTCATACCTGTGGTATAATGTAAGCAAATCGATCTCCTTAAGCTATTGGGGGTGGGATTGGTCTTACTGGTCAAGAGGGAGAGAGTCAATGAGCTCCCTCTGCTTCGCCCGCAATTCTTGCAATGCTTCATCTCCAGCCTCATCTAACTCATCATCTAAGCTCGTCTCAAGGGGTGCATATTTGTCGTCTACTACTTCGTCTTCGTGTACTCCAGACGCATTCTCCCTACTAACACCAATTGCATCTGATTTTGGCATATCAGCTTCGACGGCGGAAGAGATCAACGTCGAGAAGTGTGCTGTGATTTTTCGTATGATCTTCATAAACATGGCCAAGCCCTGTGATGACTCCAAGGATAACTCTGCACAGATAGCCCCCACGTCCTTGCGCTGTAAGCCAATTCCAAGCAAAAGGGCCCGCTGTACGCCCGTGAGCTTAATGCTTGGCTTTAGAGGGCCCATGAAGTAGAGATCTGCTAGTTTGGGCACAAGATCTAGAATGGCATGATGATCTAACACACCCCTGGCATAAGATTCCAATCTCTTGCAGTCGAATGGTGTTAGGGCCCTGTCTAATTCTGGTTTTGTTAACTCGGGCAGCTGATTTGACGGATCCAACTGAGCACCGGCTGTGGCAGATTGATCTATACTTAATGCAAGAACACACGGGAAATCGCGGAATCTGTACGAGAGTAGAGCAAGGAAACGACGATGGAAGTCGGCAGCGAAAGCTCCAAGCCATTCTCGGTCATCTTTTAGTGGCCTAAGCATGACGCAGGTGTGCTCGCCGGTTAAATCATTAGCCGTTTGTCTCTGTGAAAGGGTTAGTTAAAGGCTTGTCATATAGGAGGAATTGCTTCGGATTTAGGGATCTTACCAAGTACACTGGTATGAATAGGGCGCGCGACCAGAACTTATGGAGCGCTTGAGTTAACCCATAGCTCACACCAACATATTCGAGACTCTCTGCCTTGCGTTCCGCTAGTCTTGAGAATAAGGGTTGCATCTTATCGATATCTCGAACCTTGATATCTTCATGAAGAAGACCACCGTTTTCGCCTTCTGTGGCATCTATATCCATGCTATCGGTGTTCCTGGCTAAGGCGTCGTTATCTTCCCCTAAGTTTATGAATTTGCCTTCGTAGTAGTCGATAAGAAGCTCGAGCGCTTTCGACCCGTATCCCATCGAAACACAATCCGGATGGGTTGCTATTCGAACTACGCGAGCACCGGAGAGAGAAGCAAAATCATCTTGGAATTGCTGACTGACTAGCCAAGGAATCAAGTCTCCAGCAGGCCTCTGACCTCGGTCTAAACCAGCCATCACACTCTTCTTGCTAATATTTCCTTCTAGCGCTATTTGAACAACGCATAGAGGCTCGGGCAGACCATTTTCTTGAATTGTCGACGAGGTTAAAACGAAGAGCTCGTGCGCTGGAGCGTCGCTAAGAAGCTGAAGGTCATCGGGAGAATTTTTGTAGTGACTGGTGACGAAGAGGGCCACCATCTGTCGAAGAAATCTCTCTGGGACTGGGTGGAAGGAGAAAAGGGTATCCCGGTTGACATGTAACAGCTGACATTGAGAAGGATCTGGGAATACGCTGTTCTTTGGTTTTGAAGGGGTCACATCTAAGCAGAGAAGTGCGTTCAACCACTTCTCGACTGCATCGCCTTTTCCGTAACGTATTGGCTCAGCAAGAGTGACTTCTTTTAGAGATCTTGGACTTCGTGTTTCACCGTCCTGCGCCACACTAGTTGCGGCCTGTTCCTTTAGCTGTTTTATTAGTTTGAGTGATAGAGATCGCCCAGTACCTTCGTAGCCGCTTATTGTAGAGGCCATGAATACTGTGTAAGGTCCCAAGAGCTTTCGCACCAGCGCTTTTGGGTGTTAGCACATACTTAACAAGTAGAGGAGGAAACCTTACGTAGTGGAATGGCGGCTGCTTCGTCAATGATAACCAGCTCTGCTTGTCCTAGGACGTGGGCATCTTGCGGTCGTATGTATTGTATAGTCTGTCGGTGATTCCGGAAAATGTTGACCCTAACAATTGCCTTCTTGAAGTCAGGATTCGTAGACTGAATAATGGAATAGTCCGTGTGGTCTTGATAGTTTAAGGCATCGAATGCTTTGAATACGAATTCGAATAGCGTGCCTAAGTTTTCTGGAGAAGGTGATGTAACGAATATGTTACTATAGCCATAAGATACAGCAGCAGCAATAGCAACACCCACTGCTTCAGTTAGTTAGTTACTTTGAGAGTAGATCAGGAAACATACAAGCTGCTGATTTACCACGACCACGGGCCGCAGTTAATGAGACAGTATTGCGAAGTGTCTTGGCAGCTATGGCATCAACGAATGTAACCAGAGCATCTGCTTGATCCTTTGTCCGAGCAAGTTGGACCAAAGACCCTATCGGCTGCGTATCCCGAAGCGACTCCTTGATTTTCTCCAGCTCTATTTGTTCCGGAGACTTTTTCTCCTCCTTTGGCGGCAGTGGCTTCACCCCTCTACCACCAGATATAGGGAGAACATTTAGCTCATCATCAATAACAAGGCAAGACTCGCACCGGCCTAGAGATAGCAGAAATCGTTCGTTGAATCTTGCGACAACATCGTGGTGGGCTTCGGTTCTGTAGCGCGCGTGCACATCCATCGAGAGGGTGTAAAGCTGTCTTAAACTATCCATTCCTTTTAATAAAAGTACAACTAAGCCGCCTCCTTCGACTGTTTCGATAGTACGAGCTAGCGTATTGGGAGTAAGAGCCTCGAAATCTTGTAGGATACACTATAAAAAAGGAATTAGTATGCGCGCAACCTACGGCGTGTTGGCCTCGACTTCTTACCATGCCAAACGTCCTACCAAGGATTTTGTCGGTCTCCTTGTAGTATACATATCTAACATCGTGTAGCGAGACGAAGAGTTCGAAAGGATCTTCCGAATTGGCTTCTCGAATACCGCGCTTGATCTCTTTCTTGATCTTAGCCTCTCGCTTTTTTCGGTGACTGGTGAAGCCGAGAAGCTTGTTTTTGTAGGCCCATAGTACAGATTTGTTCTGGCGCAAATCTGTCTGGGACATTATGTAGTGCAGCTGGACGATGACATCCTTCGATCGGTCACCGACCACGATGAAGAAGCTACGCTTGTGCTCGGCGAGGCCATTTCGAATTAGAGTAGGAATGCGCGAATCTCTAGAAGATAATACTGTCAGTTATTTCCAGGGAATTGATGCCATATATTGGAAATTGAATGTATAATATATATCACTTACACAGCCTTTCGCACCATCTTGACGTCCTGCTCCTGTGCGATTCTCTAAGACCGAAAATCGTGAACGAGCTTGCTTTTAGATCCTAGTCGGCGCAAAAAAAGTTCCCCAAAGAAACATTATTCTGCCAGGCGGTGAAGTATTTCTGCCGGGCGGTACCCCACTAAGTACCGTTGTACTCTACACTAATTTCCATGGGTTACCTCATACACAAATGTACCTCCTGGCCGCAACTTAAAAATGCAAGATCATTATGAGGTACATAACATATCATACAAAACCACCTTCAAGGCGAAGCCTCACATTAGGTACATACGTATCAGTCACGTATAAGTAAGCCTTCCAATCTAAAAGAATCAATCACGTATATTAGACGGAGGCTATAGACGTAGCAGAATGTCAATAGAGACAGATTTTTCTCATGTAACCAGCTCCGTATTCAAGGCGTGGTAAAACCGTAAAACCATCGCCAACCTAGAATTCCTTATGTTTGAGGAATCTTTCATACAGATAACGCCAAACGACCTGTCCTAGAAATAGAGGGAATCATAATACCGCCAGACCTAACCCGAAATGATACACAGCCAGTCCTGTCTAACAACCCGTTCCTTTTCCGTACTCTTCCCTCATCTAATGCCGAACTTGCGCATAATCTGCCGGGTTATACGCATAGCCCCGATTTGTTTGCGGGTCATTCTTATATGTACCCTGGTGATGGTACTCCTCCGTGGTCTCCTGATGGGTTGGTAATTCAGCTGCGAATCCCTTGTGGTCTAGTCCGGGAGACGCGAAACCGGCACTGCCCGTATCCGAAGAATACGAGGTAGGCCGAGAGCTAAGTATAGACGGACTCGGTTGGCCTTGAGACCATCCCCAAGATTTGAGCTCGGGGGAGTGGGATTGGACTGAAGATGGGGAATTCCGGCCTTGGTGCGGGTATGTTGGTGACGGATAAGGTGGTTGTAAGTGTGGTGATGAATGCGGATGGTGGAAATCACCGGGTAATTCCACAACGGCGCTCTGGCTATTTGGTAGCTCGGCGTATTGCTGGTGAATCTTCTGTTCGTTCGGATCGAGTTGCTGGAATTGAGCCTGCCAATGCGCTGGGTAGCTCATTGAATTTGCTGTTCCTGGTCGACTTCCTTGTTGCAGCGATATTGGCCTTGGGACTTGGTATGGTACCGATGGCGACATTGGTGGTGGATGATATGGGCTTGCTGGTGACAGTGGTGGTGATTTCATCCCTGCGCCTACACTCAGTCCACCAGTGTAAGTACTATTATTAGGATTGAACGTTCTAATCTTCCCGTCCTCGATCATTCCTTGCAATATTCCGGAATCAAGTAATTCTGCCTTTTTGATGATTCTCTGTATCATTTCTTTACTAGCTGTCTTCATCTGCGCCTTTACTATGCCGACCATAGTAATGTTACATCGTATCTCAATGTCCTCTCTCAGGTAAAGTCCATCTTTTGGCGCACCGAGCGCAGCAAGTCCAATCTCTTGATGTTCCGGAGGCTCAACACCGGGTTGATTTCCTCCAATGCGATACTTGTTTCGGAGGTCGACACCCATCGGCGCGTAAATGTGCGTTTGCAGACCCCATGGAAGATCATGAAAGCAACCGTTAAACGTGATCTTCCCGGACCCGAATCTTCCTATGCCAGGGACGTATTGAATTCGCTCGTGTATTTCATACCACGTCGAGAAATATTCGTCGGACACGGCATCGCGAGGTGCCTTGATTTGTTTGTACTCGAGTACGAGGGGATTCAGCGTTATGACTTCGCCGTGGCTGTGGAGAATATCGATTGCTAGCTGGCGGGGTATAAAGCTAGGAATGGGTGTTATCACCGTATATACTTCTTTCTTTTTAAGCACCATCGCGGGCAAAACTAATTTCGATATTCTTGCTTCGTACTTTTGGTTGTTAACTTGAGGCGATAATGAAAAGAGTAAGTTGATGATCAGAAGAATAATCTCCCTCAGTTTTTTGTTATACCTACGTAAGCCTGCTCAGCCGATCGCATATTTATCGCTGCGCGAAACGATAGGTTGGGAGGCTTATTGTCGTACAGGGCCTAACAAGGTGATTGACAGGTAGAACAAGATAGTTGACAAGCAGAACAAGCAGAGCAAGGTGGTCAGCACATCAATGATACCAGCTTCCTAGGTTAGTCTAATCTATTCTTAGTCCTAGGGCAGTATCAATCACTTATTCTAGCCCGGTAACAACCGACTCCCAAGCCACACAACGCTCGGGAACCAACAGGCTGGGCCCATCTTGGCAAACCCTTTGTTTGGCCTCCGGACGAAAAGATGTTAGGGAGTTTCCCATTTAGCCATTTACGTACCGAATATTCTTCTCCTGCGTCATGATGATCAACCAGCTGAACCAGTAAGAACGCCATGCTCTCGTCAGCGTATAGGTAAATGACGGAACCAGACCATACAGATGTAGGTACATACATAGTAGAAGAGTTGGGACTTTCGAGAAGGCTGATAACATAGCGTGTCGTAAAAAGTAATGATAGGCTGCTCATTTACTCAAGTGCTTACGGACTGCATACGTTCTCAGGATGTGCCAATGAAAAAATGGTGGAGTATCTCCAAAAGGCCCGGTAGAATCACTCTAGAATAACGATCTGAAAATGAGAGATTTTGCTTTAGACCTACATAGTAATACACAACGTCCTCACTCATGCGGTGTTACCTTGCTTTCTAACTCTACCAGTTACGCGGCATCTCTTTAACTACCGAGTCTTAGTAGATGATTTCTGAGAATCTACGGAATACATAGAATAAGATACTGCATCCCCCCACTTCATCTTCCCAGCTACCATTTCCAAGAGCCCCAACCTAGATACAACCAATTAAACAGCTCAGAGCAATCCGCCCTATCACGGGTGGCGTCTACTGTGTACCTACAATGGGTGTCTGATAAGTCGTTAGCTTTAGCAGCATCTAAATGCAGAAAATATAAATCAAGATTTTATATGTGCAATTTGACGATCTTTACGGCACGTATAATTGGCATTAATACCTTATTATTAAGGCTAGCTAGCTTCGCCTTTAATGCAATTCATACTTTAGGAAATTGCCAATGCTTATTACTTGCTTCTATCTAGTCTCCGTAGAATCGAGACCTACATAAAGGGGGGTTGGTTTTTTTTTTTTGGTTTTTCGTTTTCTCTGTTGAAAGGCGGGCCTTTAACTTCGCGAATCAATATGAAATATAGCAACTACAGTCTTAAGTTTAAGAACCGTAACAGGTAGTGTACAAAGCGCAAAGTAGTCTGTTCATGAAAGAAAGAGCCAAGACGGCGACATGCAAAAGGTGGCCCATAAAGAATAGGCTTGTCCTAGAACAAGACAATTATGCAATCCTATATCTGGCGCTCAGTTGGAGTGCCTAGGCTATTGTCGATTACTCGAGATGAGTAGGTAGTTGTCAAAAGAACTTATCGGCGTGAGGCCGCAAGAGTCCACCAACGGACGGCAGAGAATAAAACCACCAATGAGGACTTTGAAATGCCGCAAATGAGGCCATAGGCAAAAGTCGCAAAGAGGCGTATTTCCAGGGTCCAGGTAAGTCATCCTAAAGAAAAAGACGTTGACCAGAAATCATTGGCGAGGAATCCTAGATGTGGATGAGAACCGGGTATCGTAACTGTGGGCGCGTATGCAGAGTTGTAAATAGCGTCCATGGATCGCAGTTGGCGATCAAAAGTTGAGGAAGTAAACAAGGCATTGGGCCCGTTAATAAGGGAAACCGAATCGCATATGAAAGCCGCAAGGGGAATGATGCATGTAAAGTAGGTCGTCAACGTAAAACGTAGGCGTAAACAGGCCTCAATGCGAACCGCAGCTGAATGAGAAACTCCATATGTGAGTTTTTGACTGGAAAAGAAAGAATGAAGAACCGTGCCGGAAAGAAAATTGAAATAAAGACGCGTGCTAGAATCGTTGCCAGGAAACAATGAATAAGAGACCGTAGAAAAAGAAACCGCGAAAATCTCGTGCTGGAGTCGTAGATAAGTGACTCTTAACGAGAAGCTGCAGATAGACTGCTGCGAGACTGCTGCGAGGCTGCAGCTGTAAGATCCGAGGACAATAAATGTCCGATGAGTACGAATATATCTGACTCATCTGCTATGGTGGCTACTAAAGGAACTTGGATCCGGTCGTAGGTTCGATGTAAGGACTCCTTTTACGAGCTTCACATATTAATGTTGAGCCCCTGTGGCATGGACTCTAATAATATAGGTAGTTAGTAATTTATAACAAGAAACTTTAGGATTTTGATTTGTTCGTCACATACCTCCCTCCCAGTTACTGCGGGCGTCAACCATGTCGAAGATTCTCTCATGCTCCTTGATGTCCTGGGGGTCGGGCTTCTGGTAAGGAAGCTCCCGCCCAAGCGCAATATCGGCTCGCTCGCAGAGGGAACAGAAGCAGTCATCGCCGGGGACTGGCGGGAAAACACGAGCGAGGTGCTTTTTGACGCTATTATCAATATAGTTGTGGACTCCATCGATTGTCCATACCTCCTCGATATTATCCGTCCAAGCCCAGCCCCAATCATTGCGTCCGCCGTACTTTGGAAAGGTAGTGACATGCTTGCGTGCATTCTTGTAGAATATCAATTCGGGATGCACGTAGTGAGGGCGCTGTAGGACAACTCGGTGGAAAGCCCGTCTGCACAGAGCCTCGATGCGTTTATGAATTGGGCGGAGTGCCTGCCCTGCTGACTGTAGTTTAACTACCTCTTTAGAATAATAGCCGTAGTAAGAATTCCAGAGTCTCCAGTCACCCGTCATCACGATATCGTTTTCAAACGAAATAACTGGTCCCCTCGCCTCTCGGGAAGCCGGCATGATCCTTCCGTAAAGAAGGTCTCCGTTCTTGACTCTCTTGTACAGCTTGGTCGCCCAGAATTTAGACTCCTTACAAGTAAGGAACAAGACAGGGCAAGGAGCTGACTTGATTTTGCGTAGGCGATACGTGCCCTATATTAACAATAGTCAGTAATCACCGTCATTGAATGTCGAGCATTAGGAGGTTTGATATGTCCTAGGAGCAGGGCTTCCCAAATAAACTAGGTAGGAAACAGATTGTCACCCAAGACAGGTAAGGAAGAAGAAGGAAATTCTGGAACATACCACGAATCGGTTCTGCGCCCACACGGCGAAACCCCAGATCATAGCTCTCAACTCCCGCGGGAGTTTTTGGAACATGTGGAATGTCTCCAGATGAGGGACGGTCGTTGGAGTTTTCCGAAACTTCGTCAACCGTACATTGAAGCTGTCTGTTTTGAGAGTGAAGAACCACTTCTTGTGAAATCCCCCAGCTATCTGGAGGAAAATCTCCGCAATCTCCTTGATCTTCTCGGGGCTAGCAAGTTTCCGACCCTCGGCAGATATATTCTTCAGAACAGTAGCGTACAACTTCGGATACTCTTGATGCAGCTTCATCCGGAGATACTCTTCACGATTTGTTGAGATGTTACCATCTCCAACTATAGTCAAATTAATACCATGTTAGATAATATAACAAAATCTGATGTTAATGAAAGTAGCAGGAATTAGGTAAACGGGAGTTACATTGACTTCTGTGATGGGATAAAAGCAGCGTTTCATGATTAGGTGACTTACCAAGCGTCCTGCGGAATTTTTCCAGAATGGGTATACGGTCAATCTTCCAACGAAGGTCCTTGATAAGTTGGAGGTCGCTTAGGTCGAGTTCGTCGTCTTTCTTCTTTGCGTTGACATTCTGCTTCGAATGGTCGGCGGGGACCTTGGGTTTTGAAGGCATGTTGATTACGACTTGTTCCTTGTAAATTCGGGAATGGCTGTCTCTTATAAATAGCCAACGTGCCCTTGGGAGATGCGATTATTCAAGAGCAGTTGGTAGATGTAGGTAATTCTCAAACGCGAACTTGATGTTATCCGACTCGTGATCGAGTGCGTAAAAGAATTCAGTTGATGAAATACGCATCCAAGGCGCGCTTAGTAGTAATGGGGAAGGGAAAATATTAATAGAATGGAGGAGAGTAGTGCGTAGCAAAAACGCAGAGGCACTAGCTAGCCCTTAGGACAGATAAGTTATCCTAGAGTGTAAGGTCGAAATATTGATGATGAAGGGATGTAAAGTAAAAAAGGAAGATTCAGGAAGGGTGGAGAGTAATGTCCACTCTGAGAAATCAAACTGCCTGAGGATCAAACCCAGTATTTGCGGAATGCCGAGAAGGTACTCACAAGCGCTTCTACCTACTGATGTGGTAAAATAGGCAAGATGTCACCTATTTGTATGGTACGGAGGTATCAGGAGAAGGTAGGCTTGCCTAGGACTGCTTCGAAGGTAGCAGATGTGCAGTGTTTGGTTAAAAGGAAGTGGATGAAAGGAAAAGAAGTAGGAGGGATATTGCAATTCTTGTAAGTCCCACCACTTTTATTGTCACCGCCTATCTTGCTGCCTTCCTCCGAGAATCAGTCAGCTGTATTTTAGCGGTTTATATTGGCAGAAAAGAAGGATCACAGGTGGTAGAGGAAGTAGGTGCGGTAGTTAAGGTAACGAAGGTACTTGATAGTTTGGGTACCTAGATGATATCAACAAGTCCAAGGCGGTAGGTCGTAAGTAGGTACCCCTAAGTACAATAGAAATATTCCACAGCAACTGAGGAACATTTCAAGGGAAAGTACCATCTGAAATGTACACAATATCAAGGCTAGCCTTTCTTCCTTCGCTTCTCTCAGATCAAATCATTACATGACCAGATAGCCCAGCACCAACATAAGAACATACTTCTCGTCCAATACTGGTAGCATCCTTCAACTAATTTAATGACGAAATAACTCGGATTGAATGGAGTCTCTTATCTATAATCTTACCGCCCACCTGTAGACAAATGGGGTTACTAATGGTCAGTTGTTGATTTGGGATATTATCGCGTGTATGTAGTTCCTGACCCCGCGGAGCATATCATACTATTCTCACCTTCTCTCTACTTTATTGCATTGATACCATCGATATTTGGGCAAAGCAGAGATGGCAGGTACCTAAGTTTCTTAGGTTAATGATATTCAGGTGCTTCTGAGGATCATTTGGATTATCTATGCTCCTAGGGATTTCTACTGGACTTGACTAAAACCCTACCATATTAACAAACAAAGTCACCTTCGAAAGAAAGAGTGACTCCAATGGGTACATTCTTGAGATAGGAAAGAGTAGCATAAATATATACCTACGAATTAGTTGGTAAATTAGGTGGCATATTTAACGCCGGGGCGAGGGAGAAGCCTAGTTCTTGCAAACATTACTGAGGATATGTGGCGTGTAAAGTTATGTAAAGATTAGTTAATAGATATTTATGCATTGTTTACTGGTATTTCGAAAATTTAGATTTAATCTTCAAAGGTATCACGTACTGTGTACGGTTAATCATGTATGGTGTCTAGGTCTAATGGGAATATAGTTGGTTGTGTTAAAAAGAATGGAAGAGCAAGTATAACGAGCTTGAGCTTATCCCTTATATAGACGCGCAGTTAATTGTTAAGCAAGATGAGCGCACTAGCGCTCCTTGCTCCGTGACAAAAGGCACATATGGTAATGTTTTGGCTGTTTCTGTTAACTTTTCTGGATAAGCTTGTATTTCGTACAATATTAATATTCGGGCCGGTACTAAGACGTCGGAGGTTTGCTTTGAGCCGGCCGGTATCTTGCTTGCAAGGACGTGGGGCTGCTTCCGGCCGGAGGGCTTCTTCCGGCCGTAAATATCGCCCCACTCCGGTTCGGCAGTTCGGCGGTTCGGCGGTTAGTGCGGATGTCCCTTTCAAAAGTTTTTACCATACATAGGGAGACCCCCGCCACTCCCGACAAGTTTTGGCCATGCTTGGCAACAGCTGCTCACCTATTCAACAAGCATATCTTATTTTACTTTAATACTTCAATCAAATATTTCTTCTTTAAAATAAGAGCAACACTAGCTCGGCAGTGGGGGGGGCCCTATTCAGGCAGTAGCCACATCATCCAGCCACAACCGGGGGTCACGCGGGAGTTGCATAAGTACTACATGTATTCCCATACAATTTAATTGGCATATACATGTACCTTTCATGCCAACCCCGCGTAATCCCCAGTTCTCCAGGATGCACGCCTTTTTATTGGCTAGCCTCATATTTAATTATCTAATCGCATAGCCTCTTTTGACACGACTACCTGATTGGCTACCTACTTACAAGTTACTAGGATGTTAAATGTTATTTAGTGGAGATGTTACTTGAAGTAGTTAATAAGTATCGTATTGGTTTATTTGTATGGTAAGATATAAAACTGTTCGAAGATTCTAGCTTAATCTTTGCTTGAATAGGTAATTTTGGATGATAAAAGTCTTCCCGAAAACATAAGATGCGTATCTTGCCATAATATTTCGTATGTCTTAATACCTCACTCTTTTAAGTAACATCTCTACCAAATAACATTCAACATCCTAGTAACTTGTATCTATCCAGTCAACCAACCTTTTAACCTCATACAACAAAAGCGTTGTTTTCAGCCCTTTTACCTTGAAATGAATGCATGCGACCGAATAATATAAGGGCCTTACATCATGATTGAATTGAATTGAATTAAATAAGAGGCCGTACAAGAGGCCACGAGATAAGGTGCGAGATAAGGGTATTGCCAGGCGGGCGGTGTGGGATTTAGCCAATAGGAGGGCGCGCATCTGGTCGAAAGGCGTTATGTAAGAATTGTAGTGCATGTACAAGAAAAATGAACATGAGGTACAAAAAGATACTAGAAAAGTTATATGGTGGGGGACGTACCTTTGGTTTGCCCCACTTTGACTGTGGCTACTGCCTGAATAGGGCCCCCCCCACTGCCGAGCTAGTGTTGCTTTAAAATAAATCATAAAGTTTTATAAGGGGAAATTTCATAAAGATAAAAAGAGCGAGTTTAAATATTACCATAATAAAAGTGGGGGGTTTTAAAAAACGGGTTTACCCATAAAATGGTTTTATATAATGTAACGTTTTTAAGTTTTAAAGCTTTTAATTGGTTGGATCCGGATATTAATGGGGCTGATTTTTATTTTTAAAATTTTACGTTATAAAAACCGTTTTTTAACCGTAAAACCATTTTATTTTATATAATCGTTATTTATATTATAATCGTTTTAATTGTTTTTGTCGTAAAAAGTAAAAAAATATTTAACGTAAAAAGTAAAAAAAAAAAAATTTAAAATTTTTTTTTTTTAAAGTAAAATTATACTTTTTCCGAAATAAAAGTTATAAAAGTTAAAATTAATAAAATTTTCATTTTAAAATAATTCGATAAAATTAACCATTTCGTTTTATTAATTTAAACGTTTAAACTTTAAACTTTATTAATTAATTGTAAAATTTACGGTTATATAAACGTAAAAGTTATAAGTTTAAAAACCAGTTTTTTTAATTTTTCGACTTTTTTCGACTTTTACCCCACTTTTCACGTGAAAATCACGTGGAGGTCACGTGAAAGTCACGTGAATAATAAAATCGTTTTATTTTATAAAACCATTTTATTTTTTAAAATCATTTTATTTTATAAAATGTATTAATTTAATTATAATAATATCCGTATATAAAATAATATTAAAAATCGAAATAATTATATAAATTTATTAAGTTCCGTTATGGTATTTTAACTGTAAAACATAATATTAAACATAAAAAATAATAATGTATATATTTTTTAATTATTTAATAAAAGTTCCGTATGGTAAAAACTATACCGGTAATATATAATTTTAAAATATTATATTTTAAAAGTAAAATGATTTTTATACAAAATATTTTTACTTATATAAAAATAGTTTTTTTAATTAACTTAATATATTATTATAATATTAAAAAATAAAAGTATAAATAATAAAGTTTAACAACGGACCAATTGTTAACAGCACTAATGGATTAACCACCCATTAAAACCGTTAACTTAATTAAAACACTTCCTCCCGTTATGGTGGGGCGTGTTATGGTAAGGCTAAAAGCCTAAAGTTCGAGTTTTAAACATTTTAACTTTTTTGATTTTTAACCTTTTTTAAGGTCACGTAAAGTCATGTGACTTAAAACCCATTTATTCTATCCAATCAAAACTTTAAATTCCAAAAAATCATTTTTTTACAAAAAATGATTATTTTCAAAAAAATCATAATCTCGTAAAATATCATATTTCTCATTTTAACCTTTGTTATGGCTAATATGATAGTTTACACAAGGAATCATTCCTGAAACCCATATAATGCCAGTACGGAACTTTTGAAAAAGACATCGGTACACCTATCGATTGAGCAAATTCCCAACGCATGATATTAAGCTAAAGTGATTTCCCCGGCCATATTACCTAGTAACTTGTTCTGAAATTTTTGTATTTCCTTCGAAATATACTAGTGGTAATTACGTGATTTCTTTAGCAAACAACCTCCAATGATTACCCCTATAATCGATTTTACTCCCTGCTTCCAAAGCTTCAACTTCACCAACCCGTAGACTCGTCTATGTCTTCACGTCTGGTTCGTCGCGTCCCACGTATTCCTTGAACTTCAACAGATCTGTGGCAAATTTGATTTCATCCTTGAGGAAGTCCTGGGCGTCTTGACTATAAGTTGAGGGGTCGTTGCTGTACTTCTCGATATATAGACGGATGGTCGCACCAGATGATCCAGTCCCTGAAAGTCTGACAACGATTCGGCTGCCGCTATCGAAGCGGGCGTAAAGACCCTGTTTTGAAGCGACGGAGCCGTCCAGGTCAGTATAGGAGAAGTTACCAGCGTCAGTTACCGTGCGTTCTGTTGAATGTATGTCAGTCTAATAGCTTAGCTTACAGCCTGGAACAATGTTTACATACCTCCTATCTTGCTTCCCTTAAAGTTAGGATCGGCGACAAGGTCTTCTAGTGTTTTGACAACCTTGTTGGCGCCGTCGGAGTCAACATTCTCATAGTCGTAACGGGTAAAGAACACCCGGCCATAGGTCTTCCAGAAGTCCTGCTGAATCTGTTTGATGCTTGGCTTAGTCTCGGGGTGGGCCTCCCCTAAACCGGCAATGATGTTAAGCCATGCTACGACAGCCCATAGTCCATCCTTCTCGCGAACATGGTTGCTACCGGTACCAAAGCTCTCCTCGCCACAGATACTTAACTTCTTTGCGTCAAAAAGGGCACAGAAGAATTTCCAACCTGTCGGCACCTCGTAGCAGTTTAGACCTTGAGCCTTAGCAACAAGATCGACAGCTCCGGACGTTGGCATACTGCGGGCCAATCCATACACACCCTGTTTCTTGAAGTAGGGGATGAGTTGTGCGTGGTGGGCTATGATCGCCAGACTATCACCGGGCGATACGAACGCTCCGGCACCATAGATCATGTTTCGGTCACCATCACCATCAGACGCTGCACCGAAGGGGATAGAGTTCTTATCGACGACTTCCACTAGAGAATGAGCGTAGGTGAGATTGGGGTCTGGGTGTCCACCGTTGAAATCAGGTTTGGGGACACAGTTTTGGGTAGAGTCGGAGAGTCCTAACTCCTGCTCGAAGATTGCCTTTCCATATGGACCTGTAACACCGTGTAGACCATCGAAGAGAACCTTGAAGTCGGGGTTTTCGGTGAAGAACTTCTTGATTAGGGGGAAGTCAAAGATATCCTTGAGCATCTGGACATAGTCTGCTGTGCTGTCGACGATTTCGACTTCTAGGCTACCGTAGGTCTTGGTCCCAATTGTAGTTATATCTACGTCGGGAATATCGGCAACCTTGTAGGAAGTGAGGGTTTTTGAGGCTTCGAAAATCTTGTTCGTTACACTTTCCGGAGCAGGACCGCCATTGGACAGGTTGTACTTGATGCCGAAATCTTGGTCGGGACCTATGAAAGCCACAGATTAGGGATGTAATTGTAATTGAACGTAATGGACTTACCACCGGGGTTGTGACTGGCAGTCAAGAGAATGCCTCCCGTAGCCTTTCGCTTTCGAATGACATGACTAGCAGCTGGGGTAGACAAAATGCCGTTCTGTCCAATCAATAACTTCTTGACCCCGTATCCGGCGCCAATCTTCGCAATTAGCTGGATAACCTCGGGGTTCCAGAATCTGCCATCACCTCCGATAACTAGGAAAGAACCTAAGACGTTGAATTTCAGCAATTGTTGCTGTATGTGCCTAGTGTATATTGAAGATACTCACCCTCGACGCCTTCGGGGATAGAGAGGAGGATGCTGGCGATAAAGGACTCGCTATAGTGAGGTTGTTGGAAGACCTTGACCTTTTTTCGAAGACCTGAGCTAAAGGTGTGTTAGTAATCGGGCGTAGAGTAGAATAATGTTGACGATAGCGACAGCGGGGTAGCTTTGAAGGGAGCTATTTACGCACGTTCCAGGCTTCTGATCGGTAAAGGGCTTGAACTCGACGGTTTTGACGCTCATGATGATATCTATCTCGAACTGAGATTATAAATAAGTGCAGAATAAGATCAAGCAGTTCACTTGCGTACGGGAACTTGGGAAGACTCGTGAAGTTATGAAATGGAAACTTGTTCAGGGGATGAGGGGATATCAATAAAAAACATATGACGACGTTGTTAGTGGGGTAGCGTACAAGCTACCCACCTTGGTCCGTCCCTACCTCCTATTACCATAGTACATACAAGTTACACAACACATCACTGCTTTAAGGTTGCGACGAATAGAACGATCCAATAGCGCAAGGTAATCTCATTAAGTGTGGTGGAGTATAGACACTAAGGAAACGGCCGACCTAATATTTTACATAGTACTTGCCTAACATCTGCCTCAGATATAGAAATAAATAGAAAGGTGCTACAGCTAACGGCGGCATGGTGCGCTGATGGGATCCACATCGTACATTAAACCCTCCCTATCGACAAATCAGCACGTAATTAATCATCTCTGTCACTTTGCATTGCCATAACATCTTAGGTAGCTGGGTAAAATGATATTAGAAGGGTGCCATTATTAACCAAACAATTTGCCACGCGGAAATTTCTGCCCAATATCCGTACTTTCTTTTCATATATGAATTGTCGAATCTATATTAATGATTGACCGCATCCCGCCTTTTCCGATACCGCGACAGACGCTATCGTGAACGCCATGCTGAAAATTGGAGGCATTTCAATACTGTATCATCTATTCTACTGGATACAATATTGAAATACTTCGAGGAATTTGAGTTATATGCTCATTGTTGACTTCTTTAATCCAGTCTACCCTTGACTTGTCCCGTCGTTCGCTTTATCAACGTGCTCAACGGCGTGGTCGAAAATCACCTCCTTATAATATCGAGCCTCAGCAATGCTCTCGAGGATATCCTCTTTCGCTTGGTGCAGCCCCTGCTTTATCGGTGCATTTTTTATAATGCTTCTAGGACACCATCGCCGTGCGGCCTCCTTTAGAGTGCTGACATCCAGGATTCGGTGATGTAGGTAACTGACTACTTTCTTGTACGGTTCTTTTCGAAGGAATGCTCGGTCTGCGTGTACACTATTGCCGGCTAACACTGCGCCTCGCTCTGGTACATATTTCTTGATGTATGCCAGCAATTCATCTGCTGCTTGTTCAGGGGTCACCTTGGAAGACACCACGGCAGCCGTCAAGCCGCTATTCCCATGCGTCCGCGTACACCATTCGTCCATCTTATCCATTCTCTCCTGTGACTGGTGGATGACGGTTCCCCAACCATTATCGTCTAAGACATCTAGCGTACCCGATGTGATAATACAGAAAATCTCGATGATTTCCTCACGATCCGGGTCAAGACCCGTCATCTAGCCCCTAATGTATTAGATTCGTCGTCGTAAATCTGCGTACTGAGAGATGAATAGAATTTATTACCTCGCAGTCAATCCACACTAGCGCACCATTGCTTGCCATGGTTATTCGAGAAAGAGGGAACTTATGGTTAGTGATGAAATGGGCATGCGACTGTAACCGTAAATACGATGCGTTGATGCCCATTGACCTTTTGTTGGGAGAGTAAATAATAGCGGTTAGTCTTTTTTACATGATTATATAATCAATAGAGAATGCCATGCAGATTATAGTATAACGCTAAACACACACCTGTATGGAAGTTATTCATGGCAATGGAAACAACTTAAGGAAACTTGACAAGATTTATCAAAAAACAACTGACGTACACGTGTTGTCTAGGAGGTAGGTAAGCAATTAATTAATAGTTACCTACCTCATTAGTATCTATGCTAATGATATGGCTTAGGAAGCCAGCTGGCTCACAGCTGTTAATGATATTATGACAGCTTCTACTGGAGTTGGCCAATGGAATAGAATCTATCAACAATTTTCCTGTACTAAACATTCTATATAACACTACCTCTGAGTTTATTGCTATTTATTTAAGAAGTAACCCTTATTACTCTTATGTACAAGTAAACTTGTGCGCCCCTTGGTTAAGAAAGCCAATGACTCATCGGTGAACGAGCTACGAATAAATAGAATCTATAAATCTAATAAACCCTTGAAACCTCTTGTATAGAAGTAGAACCCTGAAGCTTATATATCCGCTCATTTACTATCAAAAATTTAGCAATAATGTCAGTTACTCATGATCTACCTTCTCAGTCTGTCCGCTACCTACCCACGAATGAGGCTTACGACCGATGGGCGGTAGTTTACGATACGGACGGCAATTTCTTACAGGCGCTAGATACTATTGAGCTTAAGGCGCTGTTCCCGAAGTTCCTGTTATCTATCACGTCCCCCAGGCCATGGCGTGTCGTCGACCTCGGCTGTGGCACGGGCCGAAACACCATGTTGCTTCTCGATGTCCCTGACGTTACAGAGGTGATCGCGCTAGACTCTAGCAGGGGCATGCTTGATGTAGCGAGATCACGACTACAGAGAGCGGATGATGCTGTTGCCATATCAATTAAAAGCCCAGCGCTTCCGGCTCCGGAACTACATCTCGAAGTGTTCGATATGTTAACTGCGTCATCCCCCCCAGTTGTCGCACAGCAAGCAGACGGAGTGATCTCTACTCTGGTCATTGAGCACATACCTTTGCAAACATTCTTCTCTCAGGTTTCGCAGATCTTGAAGCCAGGCGGTATGCTCCTACTGACCAATATGCACGAACAAATGGGTGCGATTAGCCAAGCCGGGTTCGTGGACGCCAATACGGGCGAGAAGATTCGGCCGACAAGCTACACGCATATTATAGCCGATGTAGTGGCCGAAGCAAATAAATGTGGATTTGATATTGAAAGAATTGGTGAAGAAGGAGAGGGGATCCGAGAGAGAGCGGTGGAAGACGATATGGTTGAAGGATTAGGATCTAGGAGTAAGAAGTGGGTTGGTATAATGTGCTGGTTTGGTGGCTTATTTAGGAAAAGGAGAGCTTAGATGAGTAGCTTAGATGAGTATTGGTTATAGATTATAGGTCACTTAAACCGACTAAGTATAGTGATCTCCTACAAGAAAGGACTAGACTAAGAATTTGGAGTATGCATTTGGTTATCGGTGATGACTCAAACTTGCAACGCGGGGAGTTTGGCAGAGCTGCGAATTGCAGGCCATATATACACCACCTGTCTCACGATATTTAACCAAATCATCAAGTAAAGAGCACCTTAAGTAGGTTGTTAAGGCTTATATAGGATACTCTTAGCGATACTCTTAGCTACGTCCTTCACAAGGCTTAGTTGGTATGAAATATGCTTACGCCTGTGGTATGCTTACACAAAGCGCGATATTAACGCGTCACAGGCCAAAGAGGAGTAGGATCGAACCAGATAAATACGACCAAGGCAAATAACAGATACTAGTTAAAATGCCTCAAAACGTTTACGACCGACAAGATTTCTTCGAGAGCTATATCAAGCTAGACCGCCAAGTTAAGGGGCTTCAAGGTGCGCCGGAATGGCCGCAACTAAAATCAATGCTTCCGAATCTTAATGGTCTCGCCGTGCTTGACCTAGGCTGTGGGTTTGGTTGGTTCTCTCGGTTTGCGAGAGAGAACGGCGCAGAATTTGTTCGCGCGATTGATATCTCTGAGAGGATGCTTGAAAGAGCTCGAGAAATGACTAGCGACGACAAGATCCAATACGAAAGGGCCAATTTGGAAGAACTAAGATTGGCGGAAGGTCAATACGATGTCGTCTTTAGCTCGCTGGCTTTTCACTATATCGTGAACATTGCTGGCTTGATTAAAGAGATAGGTATCGGACTAAAGTCATCGGGACGCTTGGTATGTTCCATCGAGCATCCGATATATACAGCGCCGTCAAGACCTAGATTTATAGTGGATGAGGAGACAGGTAGCAAGTCATGGCCGTTAGATGACTATCAAAAAGAAAGATTGAGAACGACTAATTGGTTGGCGCCGGGGATCCAGAAGCAGCATAGAACGATCGGAACCTATATTAGCGCCATGCTGAGAAATCATCTTCAGCTTACGGATTTTATAGAATGGTGTCCAACGGAAGAGGAATTAAAACGGTTTCCTACAAGAGAGAGTGAGGTAGTGAGACCTACGTTTTTGTTACTAGGTGCAACAAAATGACCTTGTACTCAATGGAAAGGAACAAGAGATTATGTCAATTTGAATAGATGCATGCGGCTATGAAAATGGGTTATGGAAGCATTGCTTTATGCCAGCTGCAATTAGGTGACAGTAGGTGACACCAACTGTGATTAGATCGAATAAGCGGCTAAAGGTCGGTAAAACTTAAGTCCACCTACCTAAAAAGGCAAGATAGGCGGTGATCTTGCCTTAGGTAGGCTGGGTAGGCTGGGTAGGTACCTTCCAGCCTGTTATGTCTTGTACCTATGTATGTCAAGTCGCAACAACCTTGTGCCAGGGATCATATGAAGCTTACCAGCCTACATACCCTGCGCTTGTCGTCATCCCTTATTGCGCAACATCTATCTCTATGGCCTATCCTACCTTCATAAATCTATTTTGGAAATTGTAACGCGCTAGGTTAGTTCGAACCCGAGTCGATTTTACGTACAGCACCACGGATAGAATTTCGAGCCTCTTGCCCGTTTCATACCCTTGCGCTAGACGAGAATCGGCATCGAAGCCCCTCAGCGCTTCATCTTTCACACCAACTAACTACCTAATTTACTTACTTAACTCCTGGCGCGAGGCTGGGAAGGAGATATGATTGAGAGATTCCGGTGGACGAGACGATTGCTTGAATGCAACCCCTGAATCCCTTCCTAGCCGCCTTCTTCAAGCCCGGCAGTCCCATTGTCACCCAGTGCACTCCCGTTCATCACCACATTCTTCTAGTCCCGACAACCGAATTCTTCCTTACCTCCCGCGAAACCGAAAGCGGCCTATCTCTGTCAGACATTGTTGGGTCTGAAGACTTTCTGGGAAGCCATGTACTTCGTGTTCCCAGTCCGGCCACCGCTGCGGGAGGGAAGGACTCCGTCGGAAACTTGCGCGAGCAGAGGGGCAAGGCCAGACAATACTCAACCTTGAACGGGCGTAGCGTTGTCGTTAAAGATGCTTTTATTTATAGCAATAAGGGTAAGTGAAACTCCAAATAGCGACACTGGCTCTTCCTAATCATCCATCTAATTGCCGACTTGCCAGGGTTCAAAACACTTTCCCAAGCACAATTACTAAATGACACTCTCTGGTATACCGACAGCATCGAGCCGCGGCAATGGTTAATATATTATATCTCGCGGCCCCTGGTCGGCATCTGGGTGGACAAGGAGGTGCCGCGTGCTATTTTCATAGAAGGTATGGCAAAAGCTACACTTGCAGAGGCCAAGCGAGCTGCTGCTGTTGAAAATGGCGAACCGAGTACTCCACGGAAGAAGGATATAAAGAGTTTTCATGATCTTCTCAACCATTTCCCAATGATTGCAAGGCAGATGCATCCTGGGTTAGAAAAGTTGTTCCGGGAATTTACGACAATTTTCGAGAGACCGCTGCCCCCTCCGCCCTCTGCAACACACATCCCCGATCCTATCCCAGACGGTCCTATAGCGACAGCTATGAAAAAGGTGCGCTCAAATAGCCTATCTGTACGAAGAGCTAGCGTAGACGACGATGAAAGTACCCGAACAACTGAGAGTTTCTACGCCGAAGATGATGAGGATGTTATGAGAGCTTCACTTGAGACGGCAGTCACGAGCGCCATCGATCTGTTTCAAAGTGTTGACAAACAGCAGCTTTCTATGCTTGGGGCGACAACCGACCTCACGGGCCCAGTGGTTGAACGGCTAATAGAACGGTATGTGGCTGAGAATGTTCATAATCTTATATGGCCTCGACTTGCCGCGATGCGACGACCAGAGGACCTCGAGCTTGAGGCCAAAATTCGACAAATGGAATTTATCGATATTTCACAACTGGGAATCTTTATTGAAGGTGGTCCTAGAGCGAAACATGGGCTTACGGTTAGACTCGGCCACGCTGTCGAGGAATTTCGCAGAATGTCCTCAGTGATGTGTCCACAGGAGATGATGGAAATCTTGTTATCGACAATAAAAGCCGCCGCACAATTGACCGAACAATCTAAACCAAACGCAGGATCTACTTCGACAGAAAAGTCCGCTCTCACCGTCAACGCCGATACTCTAGTGTCATTGCTCCTCTTCGTTGTGATCCGGGCCGGTGTAAAATACCTCCAGGCCAGGTTACTCTACATAAAACACTTTGTCTTCATTGATGATGTAGATAGTGGCGAGTTAGGTTATGCTATTAGTACATTCGAAGCTGTACTCTCATACCTCTCCACGGACTCGAGTAGCCTACGAAGAGCGAGTCGCCGGAACAAAGGTCTCTGGGACGCAGCCGCGAAAGGCGACATGAATGAGCTCAAAAAGATGATGAATCTAGATCCAGATGCTATCGATTTCGATGTTGATGACGAAGAACCCTTAGCATCTCCAGTTTCGAGTCGTTCGCCATCAATCAGCTGGAGTATGGTTAATGGCTCCTCCAGGAGATCTTCAACAGCATTTACACCATCCGACTCATATTCCCGAGGATCGGGGCTGAGCCATGTATTTCCATTTCAGAGTCAGGCCCTGGAAGATTCTCCAATGCCTCCAATGAAGAAAATCAAGAGAGTTGCTATGGACACTAGGAGCATGTCAAGCGGCTCAGAGTTTTCATATCATTCTAGGGCAGGTAGCATTGTTACTCTGGGAAGCGGCCTCGAAGGCGATACGTCAATCGAACGGCTCTGTCAAACTGAAGATTCTCTTGGAGAGTCTATTCTAATGATGGCGGTCCAAAATGGTCAGCCAGAGGTACTTGAGTATCTACTCTCACTCGAAGATTATTTCCCACCCAGCACCCTTTTGGACGACTCTAATAACGAAGGCACTAGTCTGCTAAGCGCTGCTGTTCAGCTGGGTCACACCGAGTTAATTGATATTATCCTGGACTTTGTGATGGCTTCAGCTTCTGAGCCGCAGATTCGGAATTACTTATCCTTGCAAGACATTCGGGGCCGCAGCGTCGCACACTACCTATTCCACGCACCGTCCCTAATCGGCCGCATTGGTAAGCTACTCCCTTGGCGACAAAAGGATAGAAATGGCCAAACGCCATTGTTCGCACTCTGTCGGTCGTACGACCACCAGAACTACCACGATATGGTCGAGGCCGGTCTCGAAGCAGCGACGGGTGCACAGGGCGACGGCCAGCCACTTCACCTAGACGAGCATGTTGATTCAAAAGGGAACACCCTTTTGCATATCATCAATGACCACCAATTAGCGGTGAAAATCCTTATGCAGTGCGACATCGACGTCAACGCCACAAATGATAGGAAATTCACTGCGCTAATGGTAGCTAGTAAATATGGTCGCTTTGAGATGGTTAGGGTGATGTACTCGGATCCAAGGGTGGACGTAGCCGCGAAGGAGCTCCGTGGGCTTACTGCGGTAGAACTGGCAAAGGATGACGACGTTCGGAATAGAATCGACGATCTGACACTCTTTACCATGCCACCTGCTGAGGACGGACGTATCACTGGCGTTGTTAGATCCTTCTTCGTGGAAGACGCTACTATTCGGCTGGTTCTCAAGTCGGGAGCCCCTGCAGATGACGATAGTTACACGGTCACTACATGCCGTCGCTCTTTTACAGACTTTGAACGTCTAGCCCACTTGCTGTCTATCGAGAACCCAGCGTCGTGGATCCCGAAAGTCACAAGCCAACGGTCACCATTCCAGATCCCTTCAAAGCCTTCGAGGGCCGTCCTGAAGGACATACAAATACGAACTGACTCGTTTCTTAAGATACTTTTAGCTCATCCTACCTTTGCGACACACGAGATGCTGTGGGAATTCTTTTTAGTGCCCGACTTACAAGCGGACATGATGGAACAACGCAGCAGACTAAAAGCTGAGACGAGAGCCGAGAAAGTGCGAGATGAGTTGGAACCTCTGGAAGATATTCGCGAAGTAGAACAGTTTGTGGAACACGCCCGAGATATGGTCCGTAGTGTCAATTACTCGACTAAGAGTGTTGCGCGAAGGACCAATGCTATTAGCGTCGTCACAAATGGTATTAACAACAACACTGTCATATCCATTATCTAGTACTAATATTTCTACAGATTTCTATGATGCAGCGAGTCTAGTTTCACGAGACGTTAATAATCTTGCTTTTCTACCTCAATCGCATATCTCTGCGTTTGACGCTTACGTCCGAGCGCTTGTTCCCCCGCAATCTAATCCATCATATCTATTTCATAGTTCCTTTTCAGCTCTCCAATCTACTATGCAAGCTATGCTCTCGTCATTATCCAGGCCATTACAGCTTGTAACCCAAATAGTATCTTCTCGCAAGGCGATAGAACGCAACTATAGTTCCGTTTCGCGCTCGACGAGATGGCCACTCGGGCTACTTGATGAAACCCGCCAGCGTCTCAACGAGGAGAGGGAAGAAAAAGCAAGGCGTGCCCAGACAGAGGTAGACGTTCTAAGTAAGGAGCTTCGATACACACAACAGACGGTAGCAAGCGAACTAGCGGGATGGGAAGATATGCATGAGCGTATGGGCCGTAGAGCCATAAAGGAGTTCGCTAAAGGGATGCTCATCTTGGAGCGTGAGAGACTGCAGGGTCTTCGTAGGGCGCAGCGGAAACTGCAAGATTTAGGATCGACTTTTAACAATGAGGTTCATGAGTCAGGAATTGATCCCAATGATACCGCGGTAATGGAAAACGGCGTTGGCGATGATGCCGCAGACAGCGAATCTAGTACAATGAGCGAGGCGTTCGTGGATAGAATAGACTAGGTATTTGGCAACGATCTGAGGTGTTAATCCGGGTCCTCTTAGATGGGTGGCCATTGAATAGCAAGCAAGGACTTAATGCAACTATCATAGCCACATTAGCCATGCTCGCGTGCCATTCTGATTCTCATCTACCCAGTCTCATATCAGTACTTACATCGTACTCAGCAGAGAGGTAGATCGACAGTACAAGAAAAAGGGAGGCAGCCCACTGTCGTATTATATACAGCTTACGACGATTTAAAACTTGGTTTGAGCTACTTGGAGGTGGCCGTGCTACTTGAAACGGACCGGATCATCGATGAGCGCTTCGCCTAGGCCGAGTCGATGGCCAGACAGCGCGCACCTCTCTTATACGTGCGTGTA